ATGCGCGCAGCTCCTTCACCTGCACGCAGAAACGCGCAGAGAGAAAGGGAGAGAGAGAGAGTGAGAGCGCGGAAGTTTTTTTAGCGTAAAGAGTGAGAGGGAGTCACTTCTGAGAATTCCCAAAAGGGCACCGAGGGAATCGCACAGCTCCTGCACTGCATGGAGGAGCGCACAGGAGACAGAAAGAGAGAGCGCGAAAGCACGCAGCAAGAGAATTGATGGCGCGAGAACACGCTGAGAGAGTGACCGAGCGGAAGCGAAGAGGGAGAGTTAAGAGCGCGGAAAACGATAGCGGAGGAAACAGGCGTTTGTGCGGATCCGCGTGCGACTTCGCGTGCAGGTTGTCATTTCAGCTTTATTCTCTGTGCCATGGAGATGATAAGGTCTGCTGAGCTGTTTATACGCTGTCGAACGCTGCACTTTCCGTTCCTCCTCTCATGCCCTGTTCCTCTCATATTCACCTCTCGTTTCCGCGATCCGATGTTATCGCCGCGTTCACGTAGCATCGCTCGGTTTGCAGGGCGAAGCCTTGCTCGATAGTAACCGCCCGCTGTAAACGAGTACTGCAGTCTGCCTATAGCGCGTACTCAATGAATGCAAGATCAAGAAGGCACTCTATGTAATCAACTACGCCTCCTGGTTGAGTCAGCTGACCTCTCCTTCTCAACCATCTGTCGAGCCCCAATACCCCCATATGCTATGCGAGGTGCTAGACACTCAATGCCTTCTCTCATCACCTGGCATCTTGCTCGACAGGACTCAGCTGCACCGGCTTCTCCTTCTCGAATATCTGCTGGCTCTGCGCCACGCCCTGCGCCACAGCCGCCTTCAGCGCCGCCTTCGAATATCTCATGCTCCTGCTACTCTCATTTCATCCTCTCTCTTTTCCGTGACGCGACCTGACGCCGCGTTCTTCTGTGAGAAGTCTTGCTTGATAGAAACCGCTAGATGTTAACTAGTTACGCAATCTGCCTATAGCAAAGAGTACTCAATGGAGGCACGGGCGGAGGTGCTCTACGCGATTACCTAGGCTTCCTGGTCAACATGCGCTCGTCCGTCGTGAGCGGAACTGACCTCTCCTGTGCTAGACGTATCAGCTGCATTATGTTCGTGCTTACAACGAGTCCCCTTCTCACCTTCCGATTTATAAAGACCCCTGTTTCTCATCACCTTGGCTTCTTGCTCGACGGGCGTCAGCAGAGCTGGCTTTTCCTTTTCGAACATCTGCTGGCTCTGCGCCACGCCCTGCGCCGCACTCACGCCCTGCGCTATAGCCTATGTTAAAACCTGTGCTAGACCTGTCAATCACCTTATCATCTTGCTCGACGGGCGTGAGCTGAGCCGGCTTCTCCTTCTCGAACATCTGCTGGCTTTGCGCCACGCCCTGCGCCACAGCCGCCTTCAGCGCCGCCACCTTGGTCTGCCCGAACGCCTCCCACTTCCCCGCGAAGGCCGCCATTCGGTTCTCCCTCACCGCCACCCCGCCTGATTCCATTGAGCTCGGCTGTTTTACGATGTTCTGGTCTGAAGACGGAAGTGAATACGTGTGCAGCGCTAGAAGTGGAAGTTTTATGACTGTTGTCAATGAGTGGATGTAGATTACATAAAGGTAGCAGCGTTGCCAGTACGGTGATCAGAATGGAACAGCGAACACGATTTTTGCATGCGATGAGACTGCTGGTCACGCGTTGTGAATGATGTGCCAGAAGCCCCGTAAATTGAAGTATCGGGTTTTGGGAGAGCTCAAATTTCGGAACCGCGCGAACAAACGAGGGAGGGAGGAAATGGAAGGGAACGGAGAGGAGTTGATGCTGGATTGGGGCTTGGATGGACTGTTGACGGTGATGTGACGTGAGGCGCCGGAAAGTAGGCCCAATGAGGCAGGGCGCTGTGGCTTCCGCGAGGTGCGGTCGAATATTTACTGATGCAATTCTGTGCGGTTCGTATATCTTCTGCTGGCTTCCCTAGCTGATGTAGAGCTTACAACTTGAATGAAAGGTATTTCCTCCTTGCGATTGAGAGAAATTAGGGCTAGTTGCAAACGCGATTCGCGAAGACATTCATCTACTCTTTCTCCAGATTTAGACAATATTTTAGGCACTGACCAGCCATCCTCTCAGCGAAGCGGATTTCTTTTCTGCGATGTCAGTACACTCTCAGCAAAGTTGATGTATGCCGGAGGGGTGTTTCTGATAAAATCTGAGATCACCTAGGTGTCTTCAATTGTTTTTGGGGTTAAACAGAACTACTGCTCGCATATAATGTTGGATGGCGTTACCGAACTCTAGCCCCAGGTTCGGGGTGACCGCAAGTACAGTAGGTTCCGTCACGAAGGCATTTGAGTACCGTTCATAGGCTTGGCGGGAGCAGCTCGATTAGCGGTGCGGGAAATCGCCCTCCCCAACAATTTCAGCGATGGAAGCGCGAGTGACGTCAGCGAGAAAGGCCTTAGTCGCCAAATGGGTCAGGCCTTGGGGCCCCATGTCCTCGCCATACACCTTGCCTAGCCAAACTGTAAACCAGCAAGTATTGGACCGCCTTAGCAAGTCAAGTACAGGCAAGACGTAGAGAATTATCGTTCTGGTGCTTTTGCGTCGATATAAGATAATTTGTTGTTTAGTCCTTCTAGTCTCAGTGGGAAGAGGGGTAAAAATTAATTGCTCATATTGATCATAATAATATTTATGAGAATATGGCTGAGGTATGCTACTTTGTAACAATATTCTAGTTATGCATTGTAACGGATATGCAACATGCTATACAATAGTAATTCTTGGTGGTGGAGATATCCCCCAGGTCACCACTCCGGACCAGACCTGCTGCCTGAGAAGCCTTGTTCAACGATTTAGATTGAGACATTTTCAACCGCGAGTCATGGTGTGTGGGGGTGCGAATTTCAGTTACCATACCTCAATCACCCAATCCACACTCTACACTTCAGCCTCCGTATCAATTATAGGGGTTTCTCGGCGTGCTACAAGGTTTGAAAGACAGTTCGTATTCGAACGAAACCGATGCGCACTCGCCTCTTCCAGACCAGAACCATCACTTCAGCTTTCAAATGTCCGTTCATTTCATGTCGTGAACGCAAAAAGGTCGTCGTACAGATAACGTTCAAGCATATGCTAGATATCGTCAGTTTCAAGCCGTAGGTTTCGCGAAAGGCGGTTGTCGTTGTGCCGTAAGCACCCAGGAGCCATGCCGCTGACCCCTATTTTGAGACAAAATGGTCCGCTTCGAGGTTTGGCCAATCACAGAAGCTATGTTGGAACAACAGGACCTTTGAACAACAGCCTGGCCAACAACCTTGTGGAAATCGAAAAGGTGGAAACCGTAGAATTTGCCAGATTGTAGCCTTCTAACAACCTGCCTAAACTCTTCTCCCATTCTTACAGGTCAATGACATGTGGAAAAAGGTTGTGGCTGAAAGAGAGTAAGTTTTTTTTTTTTTTTTTTTTTTTTTTTTTTTTTTTTTTTTTTTTTTTTTTTTTTCCCCAAATTCAGTCGGCATGAAGCGAGCTTAAGTTGCTGACTCAGTGTTTCTAGTGAGCAGATTCGCACCACCCAGGATGCACTGAAGGCAATGATGCAACGGCATTCTTTGCTTAACAATGACATCATACAGAGAAATGCTTCTTTGCAAAAGGTACCAAAACGCTTGTTACGACCACCCGTTTAGACATCGTGAGCAGTACGCCTGATCCGTCTGATTGCTTTTATCTTCAGGAAATGATGCACCAGCAAGCTCAGGTAAGATTGGTTCAGTCCCGTTGATGTTTCAAACTTGAATAACTGATCCGTATTTTTTTTGTAGATTGAGCTTCTTTGCAATGAGAGTATTCAGCAAAGGGTGCTAATCAAAGTCTTGAAGAGTGAAAAGGAGGTGAGGCTAGTGAGAGCTTTGTGGTTGCTTGCTTTCTGTAGGATAGCTCACTGACATTCAGCTGCAGGAAGCAGAGAGACTGCTTGAAAAGGCGAAGGATGAGAATTCAAGATTGCAAGAAAGACTGAACAATCTTGAGGTATACCACATTTCTGCTACTTATAGTACGTTAACCAGATACTAATGTAATGGACATGCAGGAGCTACAATTTCTTGCAACAAAGAAGGCGTCACCGAAGGTGTGACCTTGAAGATGCAAGTTTGTTTGTTCGTTGGTTGTTAACAGTCAAGCCCGGTTATTCATCTCGTTTGCCTGACATTTTCAGAAGCGCAACGACAATCGTCAGCGAGATCCTGTAATGGCAGAACATGCAGGACTGACCAGAGCAAGAACGAGGAAGATCAATGCACCTTTATCCAGGTAGTTCATCATGGCGATTCCAGTTTCAGTATTTTTAGGTTTTAATATTCTTGACAGGATGCCAGGGATCGTCAAAGAACGCGCAGAGGAGGAACATCCTGCTGCATCCCCTGTGCGGTCACGAACCTACAATCCCAAGCCACCTAAGATGCAGCGAGAGGGTCAGGTGGCACATGAAGACTCAGCATCTGACGCAGAGAGTTGCAGCTCAAACAACTTTCACTCCAGGCCCACAAGGGTCCAAACACACAACCCCACGAGCAGGCGTCTACATAGCCATACAGATAACTATGTTGGCAGGCCCAGCAACCGTTCAGTTTCCTTTGCTCGTGAAATTGTCGATGAGGTCAAGGAACCTACAGAGCCACCAAAGCGTGCCCTTCGTGCCCGAACTCTCATGAGCTACAAGGAGCCACCATTGCATACCAAGCTTCGCAGACCTGAGTGAAGGAGCGTGGAATTGCTGTGCTTCAAGCTCTCTTTTCTGGCTAGCAGCTTAACTCTTGCTCCCAATAGCATACCATCTTAAAATGTATTCATCTATCATAATACTAGTATCTCAATCCTGAAGATTCACCACTATGTATCCAGCTTGGACAAGCATCAATTGAGTTACGCCACAATTGTGACACGCTGGTTCCAACAAGATTATCAGCATGGTCGACCTTATGTTCATTTGAACGGTTGGGACCTTGCTCAATGGCGTCTGCTGCTCATGCGACCATCCCGTCGCGCCTTGTCACCGTCCCATGCCTCATCTCGCACTCCACCTCCTTGACCAGGACCACTACGATCGTAGCTCCCTCCCACATCCTGCTCCCCAAGCCTGCCAGCAAGTCTGGAGCTCCTAGCAGGCCCTGCCCCTCGTGAAGGCGGCGGCAACTCAACCTCACCACTTCTCCTGCTCCCACCTCCGCCACCACCACCACCACCGTCAGCAATCCACCGTCTGTCCGCACGGTCATCAAGCGTTGAAGTCACGTGAAGCATTGGCCCACCACGGTGGCCACCTCCAGCCGCCATAACCACAGCAGGAGACCGAGACGACGGATGAACCCCACCCAAGTGGAATGGCGGAGCAAGCGGCATGGGCATGGATGTCGGCCCACCTGCTGCAATGCCAGCCACAGGCGGCCCGGCACCACCTGGCGAATGCATAGCATCCCCATGCGGCTGCATGAGGCTCTGATCCCGCTTGATCTTCCTGCGCTTTGCAGGGAGAGCAGCTGAGGAGCTGGTAGGAGCGAGCTGAGCAGGCAGGGCGAGAGGCTGCGGTGGAAGCGGAGAAATCGGCTGGAGCTCCCTGGGAGGAGGCGCAGAGGAGAACTTGCTCTCCCGGGGCGAGCGGTCCCGCTCCCGATAAGGCTCGCGGTCTCGCGGGTGGTCGCGGTCCCTGTCCCGATCCCTGTCCCGTTCCCGGTCGCGCTCGTCATAGTCGTGATCGCGATCCCAGTCACGGTCCCGCTCTCGTGGCTGGGGGAGGATGAGGTGGGGAGGAACAGCGTGAGAGAAACAACACAAAAAAAAGAACAGGAGTTGACGCGGGACAAGGCTATGTAGTCTCGAACAGGGATAAGTGGGCGAAGTTTCGAAAGATTAATATATATGTTAAAGATACATGTATACATGTGCATTTCAATAAAATAACTCGTTTAACCTGAGCGGCGTACCTCATGAAGGAGTCTTCCAGCAGGGGCAGGTGGAGTTACTCCAACGACAAGCGAGTGACGAAGTCCCTGCCCTGCTCCATGCCTCGGCGCATGCCCCTCCTCCCTCCCCTCCTCGCCCACTTCCCGCACCACCACGCGAATCCCCCCTCCCCTCTCAATGCTCCGCTCGGGGAAGATTCCACGCTCCTTCTCACCCTTCTCAACACGCTCCCTCTCCCCACGTTCCTTCTCATACACACGCTCCTGCTCCACTCCCCGCTCCTCCTCCTTGCCACCCACCCTCTCTCCTCTCTCTCCCCTCTCCCTCCCACCCCTCCCTCGCTCCCCCAGTCTCTCCTTCACAGTTGAACGCTCATGGTCCCAGTCCCTGTCCCTTTCCTTCAAGTGCTCTGCTTCTCTCTCCCGCCCCCCACCCCTCTCCTCCTTCACCTCCCTCTCAGGGGTGCTATCAACCTGCCCTCGCTCTCTCTCCCTCCCCTTCTCCCTTTCCCTCTCCTTCTCCCTCTCCCTGTCCCCTTTGCGATCAGACACACCCTTCTCACGCACACCAACCCTCTCCCCCCACTCATGCACATCCCCACGCCCATCACCCACAATGCCTGTATCCTCCACCTCTCTCCCCCTCCCCCGCTCCACACTGCCTCTCTCACTCCACTCTCCCTTCTCCCCTCCCCGACCCCCACTCCCCCGCTCCCCTCCTCTCCCTTCCCCTCTCCCCTCCCGCTCATGCGCCCTCGGAGTCTCCTCTCCCCTCTCACGCTCCCTCTCCCTCCCCTTCTCGTCCCTGCCTCTCTCCCTCTCCATCTCCCCATCGTTCCTCCTTGCTCTTTTAACTCCCCGTTCCCCACCACCCCCAGCCACCGCCCCTCCTCCCCCTTCTTCTGATGAGCTCACACTCCTCTTACCTCCCCTACCCCTCCCTCCCTCCTCCACCCCTTCCATTTCCTTTGGACTCTTCACACCAGATGCGCCTCCCCCTCCTGCTCCCCCTCCCGTCACTCTAGCAGGACTGGCTGCCATGCTAGGCCCTCTCTCTCCTCCACTTCCCCCCCCTCCTCCACCCCCATCTCCTCCTCCCGACCCCCCTCCAGCACTCCGACCAGCAGTGGCCGCAGCAGCTGCAGCCAGAGCTGCCGCCGCAGCAGCCTTGCTTCGCTCCCTTCCCTTATCCTTACCCGCTCCCCGCTCCCTCTCCCTTTCCCTCTCCCTCTCCTTTTCCTTCTCCCTCTCCCTTTCCTTCTCTCTCTCCCTCTCCCTCTCCTTCTCCTTCTCTCTCACCATCATATCTTCCTCAAGCCTAGCCCTCAGCCTCTCCCTCTCCTCCCTCATCTTCTCCTCCTGCACTCGCTCCCTCTCCTTCTCCTTCTCCTTCTCCTTCTCCTTCTCCTTCTCCTTCTCCTTCTCCTTCTCCTTCTCCTTCTCCTTCTCCCTTTCCCTCTCCTTCTCCCCCCTTTCCTCCTCATGGTTCCTCTCACGTCCCTTGTCCCTCTCCCGCCCTTCCTTCACCTCCCCCCGCTCCACTTCACGATCCTTCTCCCTCTCCCCTCGTCCCCTGTCCCGTCCCTTGTCCTCCCTCTCCCTCTCCTTCCCCCTCTCCCTCTCCCTCTCCCTCTCCCTCTCCCTCTCCCTCTCCCTCTCCCTCTCCCTCTCCCTCTCCCTCTCCCTCTCCCTCTCCCTATCTCTGCCTTCTCTTTCCTTCCCCTTCCCTGCCTCCGCCTCCCTTTCTCTATCCAAAACATGCGACTTATCTTTATCCCTCTCCTCCCTCTCCCTCTCCCTCTCCCTACTCTTCATATCCTCTTTCTCAATCTTCGCACTCCGCTCATCCCTCCCACTACGCACATCCTGCTCCCCATCCTCCCACTCACCTCTCTTCCCCCTCTCACCCAAATCTCTCACCCCCTCTCTCTCCACCCCATCACCCCCCCTCTTATGCCCTCCCCTGCCCTCCCACCTGCCCTCCCCTCTGCCCTCCCCCCTCACCTCCCCTGCTTCATGCTCCTCTTTCTCCTCATACACTCTCCTACTAGACCCACCCACACCCACACCCACGCTATCCCTGTGGTTTGACCCCTCACCCCCCACACCCAACTTCCCACCCTTTCCTTTGTCTGATTCAAACCCTTTCTCCTCATCCTCTCCTCTCTCCCTCCCTGCCCTTTCCTCGTGCCTACCACCCCCACCCGACCCCCTCCTTTCCCTCTCCCTCTCCCTCTCTTTCCCCTCCCTCCCTTCCTCAACTCTCCTCCCTCCCTTAGTTTCCATCTCTTCATCCCTCCCCCTGTCCCCTTCTGTCCCACCCCCTGCCCCTCTTAGTGCAGCGGGCACAAAGGGAGGAGCATCAGGCGATAGTTTGCTGCCTGCCCTCACTCCCCCTCTTCCAGCCTCTCCTCCTCCTCCCCGTCCCCCTCCCTCTCCCTCTCCTCCTTCCACCTTCCTGTGCTTCGCAGGTGGTGCTTGCTCCCCCTCCTCCCACCTATCCTCCCTTTTCCCTTCCATCTGCCCCACTGTCCTCGCTACTGGCTCCTCCTTTATAAGGACTTCAGCAGCAGCAGCAGCAGCACGGGAAGACGAACCACCAGCAGCACCAGCAACAGCACCACCCTCTTCCCCCTTAACAGTCATCACTTTCTCTCGTTCCTTTTCCATTGTCCTGCCTCTCTCCTTCTCCCCATCTCTCCCCTCTCCCGCTTCCCCCTCCCGTCCCCCCATTCCGCCATGGATCAGGGGAGACTTGGAGGCGGGGCGTTCGGGGGAAGGGGGAGGCATGGAGGAACGGCGTGAAGGGGGGGGCGTGGGGTGGCGACTAGACGGAGCAAAGGGAGCAGCAGCAGCAGCAGGGATAACAGCAGCTCCTTTGCCAATCCCACCACCACCACCACCAGCAGCCGAAGCAGCAGCGTTGGCAGCAGGGACAGTGGCAGGAGCAGCAGCCGATGCAGCAGCTGCAGCAGCAGCAGGAGCAGCAGCAGTGGTGGTCGTCGTGGGGGCAGCAGGAGCAGCAGCAAGAGGGGCAGGGGAGGCAGCGCGGGGAGTGGTGGAGGGAGCCGGTGCTCCCCCAAACTCCTCATCCGTCACCCACGATTGCTGCGAGCGACAGGGAGAGAGAGGGAGAGAGTAGGATGCACATTAGTGGGGAATAGCATTTTGAGGCGCCTAAAAAAAATGGGGCAAGGGAAGGGAGGCAGGGCAGGGAGTGGCAGAGGGAGCTGGTGCCCGTCCGAACTCCTCATCCGTCACCCACGATTGCTGCGAGAGACAGGGTGAGAGAGGGAGGCACACACGCGAAAAATAGCATTCTGAGGCGCCTAAAAAAAGACGGGCAGGGAGTGGCAGAGGGAGCTGGTGCCCGTCCGAACTCCTCATCTGTCACCCACGATTGCTGCAGGAGGCACACACGGAAAGTAGCATGTTGAGGCGCCTGCAGCAGGAGAGGCAGCAAGAGGGGCGCCTGCAGCAGGAGAGGCAGCAAGAGGGGCAAACAAAGAGCGGCAGGATGTGTCAGAGGGAGCTAGAGCGCCTCCAAACCCCTCATCTGTCACTCACGATTGCTGCAAGAAAGAGAGCGAGAATGCACGAAGACACAAACGCTAACAGCATTCTCCTTTAGGACAACATATATGTCGTTACAAGTGCATATTTCCAAGCATATGATTCTCACTCTTGTTTCGAAAAGCAGACTTTTTTTTTTTTTTTTTTTTTTGTACCTTCCTAGTTCTTTCAGGCTCACAGCACGATTGTGGTTGCTTTGCTATGTGTAAAGCCTTGGAAGTCGGGAGGGCTTACCACCACGAATTGGGGACGCTGAGTCAAATCTAATCAACAAAGTTGAAACGACCCATATCTCCACATCGCATCCATACCTTCTTGGCGTTGAGTGCAGCCGACACGCTGGTGGCCATGAGCTTCAGATCCTGCCGCTCCTCCGCTTTAAGGCGATTCACCTGATTGCGATGGTGGGTGGCATGGCATGATGGAATGAAATCACGAAATGACGAGATGATGGGATGGAGCAAATGAGCGGCCGACACACTGGTAGCCATGAGCTTCAGATCCTGCCGCTCCTCTGCCTCGAGACGATTCACCTGATGGCGATGGTGGTATGACATGATGGCAGAATGGTATGAAGAGCTGATGACATAACGAGATGATGGCATGACGGCATGGCCGTGTGACGGCACGATGGCATCATGAGATGCTGCGACTTTGCAGACACGAACTGGCGACAACTGTGCAATGGGGGTTGATGGTATGGTGGCCACGGCGGCAGCAGCGGCGGCAGCGAAGGCAACGGCAGAGGCAGCCGCAGCATCATCATCAAAAGCAACAACAGCGGCAACACACCTACTTTGCGCTCTAGGACCCACAGCCACCCACCTTGCGCTCATCAGCCACCCACCTTGCGCTCATCAGCCACCCACCTTGCGCTCGAGCACGAGCCCCCCGCGCTTGGTGACGGGGAAGACGGCGGAGACGCGCGAGAGCAGCGTGAGGGCGTTGCGGATGTGCATGTACTCGGTGGACTCGAGGAGCGTGGATAGCACCTTCACTAGCTTCGCGTTCCACTTCCAGTTGATCTGACAGCACAGAGATGGAAGAGGGGCACAGTGTGAGGGTGCAGTGTGGCAGGCAGGTGGACACGTGCTTGTCGTTCCACATGGCATGTGCTTGCAGTGTGGGGACAACAGCACAGTCAGCACGAGCATAAATCATCACTCACAGTGCGGAACTGGTCGAGCGTCATGTTGTTGTTGGGTTTCTTCATCACACTCTTGGATGACCCGGGGTGGTCCAGACACTCCGCGTTGTACACCGCTGCATCGCTCTGCCATGCACCCACAGCAAGAGAGGGGAGAAGGGGGAGATGTGGGTGGAGGAAGCGGAGTAACTGTGTTTTGAGTGCAATCGGGGGGGGCATACCAGGGGCTCGGCTTGTACACTGCTGGACACCACCACAAACCAGCGCCCCAGCCTTTCCTGGCGAGACCCCTTCCGCTGACTCTCACCTTTCAACCATACTCCCGCCCTCACCACCCGTTTTGTGAGACGCCTCAAAAATCGTATTTTGAGGCGCCTGAAAAACACTCTCACCTTTCACCCATACTCCTGCCCTCACCAACCCCCGCCTGCGACCCTCGTACCATTGCCACCACCCTCACCTTCCAACGGCAGATGGCCTGCAGAATTTTCAGCACAAAGCGCCCCAGCAGGCCCAGGCAGGCTGGTGACCCCAGATATTCCCCTTTCCCCCTCTAACACACCTACCAGCGGTAGATGGCCTGCAGAATTTCCAGCCGAACCGCCCTAGGCAGCCCAGTTACCCCAGTCGCCCAGCTTTCCCAGTTGCCCCAGTCACCCCCTCTCGCCTCAGCCACCCACCTTCCAGCGGTAGATGGCCTGCAGTATCTCCAGCACAAAGCGCCCCAGGCGGCCGGCCTCGGCCTCGGAGGAGCTGGCGAGCAGCGGGTGGAAGCTCTTGCACACAAAGGCGTCCACCATCTGAAACGTGCAGAACTGCAGGGTGGCCGCCGCGTGCATGCGCAGAATGAACCTGCATGGGGGAGTAGAGAGCGGGTGGGGGGAGGTGGCTGTTAGAGCTCTTGCACACAAACGCGTCCACCATCTGAAACGTGCAGAACTGGGGGGTGGCTGCTGCGTGCATGCGCAGAATAAACCTGCATGGATAGGGAGCAGAGAGAGGAGGTAGAATGGGTGGAAGCTCTTGCACACAATCGCGTCCACCATCTGAAATGTGCAGAACTGCGGTGTGGCTGCCGCGTGCATTTGGGGTATGAACCTGCATGGGTAAGGAGCAGAGAGAGGGGCAAGAGTGGGGTGGAAGCTCATACACACCAAGGCACCGACCATCTAAAACTTGCAGAACAGAACTGGGGGGTGGCCGCTGCGTGAATGCGGAGAATGAACAAGCACTCACTTGGCACAATACAGTACACAGAGCCGCTGTCAATCACTTATCTTCAGCCCTCATGAGCAGAGCACGTGTGGAATGGCGCACGCAATGGTGCAGGAGGAAGCACGGGACGATGCGCCAGCCCCATCTCTGTCCTAATTCTTCCATTGCCCCTCATCTCTCATGGTGACACTCACTTGGCGCAATACACAGCATCCTCTGGGCTCATGAGCACGCGCGGGATGACACAGTGGTGCAGGAAGCACGGGACGATGCGCCAGCTGTCCGGCACGGCTGCAAGTTAATGCTTGCACCCCAACTCCCTCCTAGAATCCACTCACTTGGCACAATAGACTGCATCCTCTGGGCTCATAAGAACGCGCGGGATAACGCAGTGGTGTAGGAAGCACGGCACGATGCGCCAGCTGTCCGGCACTGCAGCCGGGCTCAGCCAGCGTGCCCGGTCCCGAACCAGCCGCCGCTGCACAGCCTCGACCCGAGCCTGCTGCCGAGCCAGCTCGGCTGAGAGCCGATCCAACACCTCCTGCACTCGCTCCTTCTCCTTCTTGCGCTTCTGCTTGTGAGTGTGCAAGGCGATGGGAGAGACGGCACGAAGGGCGAGTGCAGAGACATAAGGGCGACAATGAGGTGATGCTAGAAAATGAGGTGCCACGGACGGTCAGACGTTGAGACGAGCCGTAAGCCGCTCCGGAGCTTGCGTTCCGTCAGGTTCCTTCTGGAAACCACCTTGCGAAGTATTGTATTCTTGTGCAACGCAGGAGAGTGCGTACAAGAATAAGAGAAAAGAAACCACCAACTCAACGACCCGAACAACCTGAACAGATTGAATATTCACCTGGATTGAAAATTCACCTGGATAGCGGGGACTGAGGAGTTGCCCACGTCCTCGAGGGAGCGGAGCAGCGCTCTCTGAGCAGAGAGGGAGAACCCAATATGCCTCACCTGGATGGCTGAGCCTGAGGAATCCCCAACATCTTCAAGCGACCTCAGCAGCGCTCTCTGCTTGGCCATCTCGGCCTCGTAGCGCTGCCGTGGCACATGCAGGTCACAGAGTGACAGCCCCCAGAAGAGAACCCGCATACGCCCTCACCTGAGCAATTTTGGAAGGACAATCTGACGACTCACCTGGATGGCTGAGCCTGAGGAGTCCCCAACATCTTCAAGCGACCTCAGCAGCGCTCTCTGCTTGGCCATCTCGGCCTCGTAGCGCTGCCGTGGCACATGCAGGTCGCAGAGGGAGAGCCCCCAGAAGAGCAGATAGAAGGGCGGCGACAAGCCCCGCCACGCTGCTGCGGGCGGCATGTTTCGGACCCACTCCACCACGTCCCGCCAGTGCACGGGGCTGTCAGTGGCATCGGCGCCAGCCGCAGCAGCAGCCGCAGCAGCAGCACTAGTGGAAACAGCAGCAGCAGCAGTAGCAGCAGTTGCAGTTGTAGCTGCCGCATCTCCCAGGCACAGCACCAAGTCCTCCTCTGATTCCCCATCCCCCTCCCCCTCCACCCCATCCTCCACCACCCCATCCATTGCCACCCCATCCCCTGCCCCCTTCCTCCCCCCCTGCTGCTGCTGCCTCTTCTCCTTCTCCCCTCCCCTCCCACCACCCCCACCACTCCCGCCCGCACCACTCGCAGCAGCGAGAGCAGGCCAGGACACGGGGGAATCAGGGCAGGGCTTGAAGAGACGCAACACAGGGCGGTAGAACAGGAAGGCGGCTTCGGGCGGCATGTGGAAGCACTGCGAGAGAGTGTGCAGGGTCGGCATGAAGGCGGCGTACGAGGTGGGCGGCGAGAGGGCGGCGGAGAGGAACTGCGCGTACTGTAGCATGATGAGGTGGCATCGGTCGAAGTGCTCGCTGAGTAGCTTGATGTGTGACCCCTCCGCCTCAAACACAATGCTGGGAGAGGGTGGAGAAGGGTGGAGAAGGGTGGAAAATGGCGAGAGGAAAGGAGGAAGGGACTTAACCAACAGCGTGACTACTGTGCGATTGCTCTGCCTCAAACGGAATGCTTGGGGCTGGGAGAGAAAGGGAGATAGAACGAAGAGAGGGTTGGGCCTGTTGGATTCGAAATGTGCACCACAGCACAGCACAGCACAGAGCACCACAGCACAGCACAGGGGACACAAGAGACAAAGGACCGTTTGAAGGAAGAGGCAACTGCTAAAACGTTCATTGAGGAGTTTCAAACACGACGCTGGAAGGGGGAGAGGCATAGAGAGGGCACAGTGCGTCGGGGGGTTGGGGGAAGAGAGGGTGATTTCAAAATGCGTGAGCAGAGAGTATGGGCGAGCGTGAGGGGCGGGAGCAGCACGACAAGCAAGGATGACGTGGAAGCAAATGCACTGGTGCGCCAAAATGTGTCAAGGAATCACCACGAACACTCACTTGGATCGTTGCCGTGCAATGAGCACCAGCAGTGGCACGGCGAGATTCGGCTCGCCCTTGCCCGGCAGCAGCGCATCCTTGAGCCGCCCCATGGACCGCGCCATGGCCTGCCACGGTAACGGAGAGGGTGGGGGGAAGGGGGGGGGGGGGAGGAGGCGGGTGGTGAATGGGGTGTTGACAATTTCGAAGCAGCGCGTCCTTCAGCCGCCCCTTGACCGAGCCATGGCCTGCCCAGGTACCCAAGGGGGTGGGGGTGGGGGTGATGGAAGGTGGTGGGGTGAGTGAGGCCTTTGAACCATCTCAAAGCAGCGCGTCCTTCAGCCGCCCCATTGACCGTGCCATGGCCTGCCAGCAGTACCAGTGCGGATAGGGTGGGGTGGGGGTGGAAGGGTTGGGTTTGGAGAATGTGAGTGTGGTCGATGGGGTTGGTGGATGGGGTTGGTGGATGGGGAGGAGGGCAAGTTTAAATAGGACATTTGCGTTGCGGGGTCGTAAAGCAGAGCTCTTTCAGCTTCTACCTTTCTTCGCGCTCACTCAATCTCCCAGCAGCCTCACCTATTTCAAGCCATGCAATGCACATTGCTGTATTTGGCCTGGCCAAAGGAAGCTAGCAGTCAACTGCCTGAGAGTCTTCCCCCCAACCAGCGCCTTGAGCTGCTCCTCTCCTCAGTGGCAGGCGGTGGTAGGCGACACAGGGCTTCAAGCGGAGAGCCTTGCTGAAGCTCTCACTGCACCCACACGAGGTGAAGGTGGGGCCGGGGACTCACGCGATGGTGCCGGATCTTGAGACGTTGAAAGGAAGGGCGAGAAGAAGAGCAAGAAGGGCAAGGAAGGAGAAAAAAAGAAAAAGACACAGACGGAGTGGCTGGCGGAGTGTAAGAAGTATTATTAAGAGGTTGTATTTCCGAAGAGGGGCATAGACAGTGTGACATTGAGGTGGGAGTATGTGGAGATGCTGAAACCAGGAAAGTTTCTCAACGGCACGCTCATTGACTTCTTCCTCAAGTGAGTAGGTTGCTCCTATGGAGAACAACTAATGTTTTCACATTCGTCACCCTCCTCTGCGCCACCTCCCACCTTTCCCACAGAGGAGGAAATCAGCCGCAGAGGAGAGTGACGAATGTGAAAACATTAGCTGTTCTCCATAGGACCAACCTACTCACTTGAGGAAGAAGTCAATAAGCGTGTCGTTGAAAAAAAATCATCGTTTCAGCATCTCCACATCCTCCCACCTCACTGTCACACTGCCCATGCCCCTCTACAGGAACACAACCTCCTTATAATACTTCTTACCACTCCGCCAGCAGCTCCCTCTATGTCTTTTTATTTTTTCTCTCCGTCATCGTCCTCCTGTCGGCCCTGACAACCACATTAACCTCTACCGCGTCATCATCGCCCTACTCCTCAGCCCTGCCCAAGACCGCAGCGCAGTGGCATCGGTCAGATAGAGTTGGTGGACATCTCTCGCGGCGCAATGGGCCTGGGCGTGGGGGGTCCTGGTCGTGGTCTGGTCTACACCGGCTACAGTGACTAGGGATGAGCAATGTGACGAACTCCTGTTCGGTTCGCCTTTTTTTTGGCCTAAATTGTTCGGGGCGAACGTGTTCGGTGTTCGCCCGAACACGTTCGCCGTTCGCACAACTCAGCTGGCCGAGGCGCGTCGAACACGAACGTGTTCGTGTTCGACACGGGCCTTCGACGAACACCAATGTGTTCGTTGACGAATAGGCCCGCGACCAATTTTTAGGTCGCGGGCCTTGGTGTTTGGGCTCAGATCTGGCATTTCGAAGCTAGTCAAGTACAGATCTAGCATTTCGCCGTTGCTTAAGTGCGGATCAAGGCATTTCGCCATTGCTAAAGTGCAGATCTAGCATTTCGCCGTTGCTTAAGTGCGGATCTAGGCATTTGCCGTTGCTTAAGAGCAGATCTAGCATTTCGCCGTTGCTTAAGAGCAGATATAGCATTTCGCCATTGCGTAAGTGCAGATCTAGCATTTCGCCGTTGCTCAAGTGCAGATCTAGCCTTTCGCCGTCACATGCTGGCACTAGCATGGATGAAGCAGGGCGGGACTGGCTTGGGGGGTGGGGGGAGGGAATGTGCAACGATTTGAATTTTACTCTATTTGGAGCTTACAACCACCTAACAAATGTCAACAATGCACAATTCACAAACGTGTGAATGTAGTCCTGGGGCGAACACGAATGTGTTTGCCACGAACACGTTCGTGTTCGCCTGCGTCAAAAAGGTGTTCGCCTTCACAGGCGAACGGCGAACACCTTTTTTTGGGAATGTTCGGTTCGCCGAACGGCGGTGTTCGTGCAGGGGCGAAACCGAACACGTTCGTGTTCGCCTCTTGCTCATCCCTAACAGTGACTCCTCCTGGGCCGATTCTCGGCCGGAACGTCGCTCCTCTTAGGGCGATGCTTTCTCTCTTGGTAGCGGTCTTATCAGCTGACGTTCCACCCGCTCCTCCGTCATCGCTCTCTCCTCCTGCGACGCGGAGCTGCATGTCGCCACCATAACCACGCAAGAGGCTCGAGGGCACACTTTTCTTCTTGAGGAGCTTGGTGCTCCTCAGCGCTGTCCCGCCATTTGGAGTGACAATGCCAGGACCATTCATCTCACCAATGACAACGTGTTTCATGGACATTCTAAGCATATTGAGCTCCGCCATTACTTCATTCGTGACCTCGTTCACGACGAACGCATCAAACATGGCAAGATTGACTTGGCGGCCAATCTCGCGGATATCTTCACCAAGGCCTCCTTGGACTCACCCCTCCCGCCACCTAATTCTAGCTTTTTCTAGCCTTATGCATGTTGGGGTGTTGTGTTGTAGTATTTTCTATAAATCATGCATATGATAGAATAGGTGTAGGGTTGTTGAGTGTACCTTCAATCAAAAATTGTGGTTGAAGCTTGTTTGGGTTTCTAACAATTTTTGGACCTCCAATAATGTTGGTTCAAACCCACCCAGCAATTATTGAAGCCCCAATGATGTTGGTCCAACACAACCAGCAGATATTGGGGCCTCTAATAATTGTTGGCCAAGTTCATCCGTTACCAATTCCTCCACCTATGTATACCTTGGCTCACTTGGTTTGAGATCGACATTGATACAATTCTTCCTTTTCACCAGTTTCTCAATCGTCTCAATGCCAGCCATATGCTCCATCAGCTCCTGCAGAAACACCAGCTCCCCGCCGTGCAACCAGGAGATTCTGCGATGCCCCAATCCCCTGCCAGCCCCCTTAGGCTCTTCCCCACCCCCACCCACCCCTGCCACGGCAAGCCACACAAACAGCGCACCTTGTTGTTCTTGGCCTGGCCAAAGCTGGCGGTCAACTGCCTGAGCGTCTCCCCGCCAGCCAGCGCCTCGAGCTGCTCCTCCGTGAGGTTCTCATTCGACTCTATGCCAGCCATCTGCTCCATCAGCTCCTGCAGCAACACCAGCTCCACTGCCTCGCCTTGGTGCAGCCGGTTCACTAAGTAGCTTAAGAGCCCCCGCAGCTCCACCAGAGGGTACTTCTTGCAGCTGATAAGAAAAGAAAAGGGGAGGGGACGACGCGAACCGATGCATTCAATCTCAGTGTGATGTGAAGCCCCACTGCGTCCCCTCATAAAGCCAGCCAGGCTATGTATGAGCCACATAGCTTGAGGAAACGGAACAAGGAAGGGACGCACACAGCCACACAAGGCAACAACACATGCACACGGAGCAGAGAGCAGAGAGCAGAGAGTAGAGAGCAGAGAGCAGAGAGCAGAGAGTAGAGAGCAGAGAGCAGAGAGTAGAGAGCAGAGAGCAGAGAGTAGAGAGCAGAGAGCAGAGAGCAGAGAGTAGAGAGCAGAGAGCAGAAAGCAGAGAGTAGAGAGCTCCAAAAAATAGACTGCAAAACCATGCTTCCGGTGGCCTTTTGCTCAGCAGCAAGGGAAGGATGGAGAAACATACACAGAGCCCCAAAAGGAGACGAGACCGGCCACACATGGCAAACAAAAAAAGGAAGACCAAACGGCATTGCCACACGCACAGAGCTCCATAGCCCAGCCCACGGAACCCCAAAAGGCAACACAAGCCTGGGAGGGAACGTGCACAGAGCAGTACAGCCCGTACGCCAGAAGCAAGGGAAGGGAGGGAAGGAGGGAGGGCAGGGGTGGAGGGCGCGTACACGGAGCCCCAGAAGGAGGCGAGGCACTGCAGCCAGTCGGCGATGTTGAGCCCGTCCTCCTTGATGGTGCTGCGCGGCAGGGCCAGTCGCTCTATCACCACGTACTCGAGAATGTCAAACTCCAACTGTTTTAGGGCGAGCGAACGGGGGAGGGTGGTGGTAGGAGGAGAGCAGTTTTCACGGCTTTACCACCAGGTAGTAGAAGCAGGACCAGGTGCTCCAGAGCATGTCAGTGACACCGCAGCTGGCACGACTCAAAAGGCAGAAAGACGAAGCAGAAGAACGAGGGGCCAAGAGAGGGGGGGGGAGGGGCGGGGGGGGGGGGGGGGGGGGGGGGGGGGGGGGGGTGGGTGGGGCTGGGTGGGGCGGAGTGGGGTGGAGTGGGGCAGGGTGGTGCGGGGTGGGGCGTGGAGCACTGACCTGGTTGAAGTATTTGAAGGCATCAACGACAGGCGGAATCATTTCCTTGTATGCCTCCACCTGCCAGCCGTGGGACAGGAAGAGAGGGGAGAGGGAGGTTCAGGGAAATTGTGGTGGGGGAGAGGGTTGGATTGTGAGATGTGTGAAGGGTTGGGTATTAGAAGGCAATAATGACAGCCAGAATCATATCGTTGGGCGAGTCCATCTGCACACTGCACCACTGTGCAATGCACCACGCAGCAGCACCACCCACCTGCACCACAACAGCACCCACCTGCACCACAACAGCACCCACCTGCACCACGATGGTCCTGAGCACGGCGAGCGGGTTGGAGTGCGCCAGCTGTTAAACCATACCTGAACTGAACCGCTTACCATCGCAGCTAATTTCGCTGCCTGTTACTGTGCAGTGCACAGGGCAGCAGCAGCACCCACCTGCACCACGATGGTCCTCAGCACGGTGAGCGGGTTGGAGTGAGCCAGCTTCGCCACCATGCGCCCCGTTGGCTTCAGATTCTCCTTCGCCAGCCGCTTCAGTGTTCTCCGCGTGTCCAGCTGGCGGTGTGGGCAGTGGGGGGTAAGGAGGGATGAACGGGTGCATTGGAAAAGGCACGTGATGCTCAGACTGTGGCCTTCAGATTCTCTTTCACCACCACATCATAAAAGTTGGGTTCTGAGGCGTCTCAAAACCCAACTTGTATCGGGTGGGGAGAGGAACAGGTTCATTGGAAAAGGCACGTGATGCTCAGAGTGTTGCCTTCAGATTCTCTTTCGCCGGCCGCCTCAGCGTGCACCGCATGCCCAGCTAAATGGGGGGAGGGCGGGAGAGGGGATGAAAAGGGGGGGCTGGGCATGGGGGGAGGAACGGGTACAAAGAAAAAATATATATGTGGGAATTGGGAGAGGAGGGTTGGGAGAGGGCGGTGGGGAGGAGGGGAGTAAGCGGAGAAGGCGAGGGAGGAAAAAGACGTGCATCTGTGTGCGAACCGCGTCTTCTTCACCCACCCACGCACCCTAGGAGAACAGAGCCTCTATCCCTCGAAGCACCTTCACCAGCAAAGCCAGCGGCCAAATTCAGCGCTGCTGGGTTACCCAATCAAATTTATCACCCCAGTACACTACCCACTCACTTACTACCCTGAACTGCACTGTTATCACTCACCCTGGCAATCTGCCGGGCAGCAAGCACCAGGGGGTTGGTCTCGTTGTCCCGCTCCCACTCGCCGTACAGCCGGTAGTGCTCCTGGAAGGGCAGGCCGGCCAGCACCTCCCACAGCTGCATGCACACCGGCGGACTCGCCACCAGCAGAGGATCTAGTGCTACTGGACTTCTCAGCACCCTTTCCACCCCCTGACTGACTCACCCGTGCAATCTGCCGGGCAGCCAGAACCAAAGGGTTGGTCTCGGTCTCCTTCTCCCACTCGCCATACAGCCGGTAGCGCTCCTGGAAGGGCAGGTAGGCCAGCACCTCCCACAGCTGCATGCACACCGGCGGACTCGCCACCACCGCCTGCAGCGCCGGCAGCAGCGACGCCTCTAGTGCTTCCACCACCCCCCCCTCCACCTCCCTTGCTGCCGCTGCTGCTGCCTCTGCTGCAGCGGCTGCTGCTGCTGCTGCTGGTGTTGCAGTAGTAGCAGCAGCAGCGGTGTCAGGGGAAGCGAGCGAAGAGCCGGGTTCAGCAGAAATGGGGCCGTTGGCTGCTGCTGCAGGTGGTGGTGTGAGCACGGCAAGAGAAAGGCCGTTACAGTGAGTTGCAGGAGCGGAGGAGGCAGCTGATGCAGCGGCTGTGGCGGCAGCGGCGGCAGCAGTTGCAGCGGCGGCACGGGCTTGGAGGAGGTCCGCCTTGAGCACCTTGCACAGCTGGGGATGTGCCGTTGTGGGATAGGGGAGTGTGGTGCGGTGCAAATGGTGTGGCCGATGTGATGTGGGGCGGTGTGGTGCGGTGAGGAGGTGTGTGACACGCCATGCAAAACAGCAATCAAAGAGCAGAGTGGAAAAGGGAAAAAAGAGTGATCAGAGGTTTGGTGAAAAGTAAGTTCAACGAATGGCATGCAGATGACAGGTAGACATAGATATGAGCAACGAACTGAACCTAGGTTCGGTTCGCTCAAACAGGTTCGAGTTAACTCGAACCGAACTTTTTTTCTAGTAAAAAAAGTTTGAGCAAACTTCTAAAAAGTTTGCGCAAACTGTTCGCACAAACTTTTTAGGTTCGAGTTTAGGACTTCGAACCGAACAGGTTTGAAGTTCGAAACTGTCTAATTCGAACAGCGTGGGGTTCGAATTAGGCACCCGCCAAATCCCACGCGACTTTCCCGTCAAAAACGGGAAAGTCGAAGGGTTGGCTGCCATTTCACGGCAGCCAACCCTAAACTCGTAACTTAACTAGAGCAGATCTGTATCTGCTCTTAAGTACCAGATTCAAGCTCCCCCTCTACAATTCTTTAACTAGACATTCCTCTTAAGATGCGTCATGCATTTAGGTTAGAAATTACAGTGAGCATAAATTATGGTTAGGCCTGCAGCAGAGCATTCCGTTTTGTAGGGATTAGTCCAAGCATTCCGTTTCTTAGGGACTAAACCCTAAACATCAAGCATGACGAATCCCGGCCAGCCCCGCAATGGGGCCGTCAGGGAGCGCCAAGAGGGGCCGTCCGAACGTGTTCCGCAAGCGTTTTACATTTCCTTATGCACCTCTCGTAACCTCAAACCGAACTAGGTTCGAGTTCGCTCAAACCTTTCATGGTTTGAGCAAACCTTTAGGGTTCGCTATTAGAGACTCAAACCTCAAACCTCAGAATTCTAAAAAAAGTTCGAGCAAACATGTTCGGTTCGGTTCGACCATCATGCAAGGTTCGCAAAAGTTTGAGCAAACATGTTTGAGTTCGGTTCGTGCTCATATCTAGGTAGACATGGTGAGGTGATGGAAACACGCGCTCCAAAAGATTCCAATCTCAGAACCCTTAAAGCCCACCGGCCAGTCACTTCTCACCTTCTGCAACAGAATGGAATCCTGGTACAGCAGAAAGGCCTGCATGCAGCAACCGAAGCATCTCAATTTCGGAGCCCCCTTGAAGCCCATTCCCCCAGTCTCACCCCTCACCTTCTGCAGCAGAATGGTGTCCTGGTATAGAAACGCCCCAAGGAAGCGAAGCATCTCAAACACCCTCCCAGGCACCCGCGCCCCGCCTGTCCCGCTCTCCATCACCCCCCTTCCCACTCCTCTGTCTTTCTCCCCCTCCCCCTCTCCATCCTCCTCGTCCCCCCTCGCCCTCTCCCCTTTCCTCCTGCCCCCTGCCACTCCTTCCACCTGGCCGGCTTCAGCCATATCCACATCTCCATCCGAGCCTCGGGAAGCACCGAGGCTGAAAGGCAGGTTCGGTGACGAGGTAGCATCGGCAGAAGGTTGGGCTTTGAGGTTGAGAAGGTAGGCTGGGCGGACTGCATGGTAAGCCGGGGCGATGGAGCGGGATATGAGGCTGGTTGGACGGGTGGTGGAGTGGGGGGGGGGAGTAGGGGAAGGAGAGAGATCAGAATGAGATGAGTTTTTATTTGTTCACATTCGATTGGCACACATTTGATGAAAATGTGCAACCCTGACACGAGTTACGGCATGTTCAATTCAAGATGACAACACAGAAGTGACACGATCAAAGAGAGTTGGCATTCACACAAATGCATTGTCCCAATCACTCCGGTGCTGTGCAACAGCAGGATATACATGCAGTCGTGGTGGCATACATGTGCATGATAACGGGATGAGGCAATTGCATGCATGGGCACACACACATGGCACAGGGCGTTGCATTGCATGCATGGGCACACATGGCACAGGGCGTTGCATTGCATGCATGGGCACACACACATGAGCGCACAGGGCACGGGGGCGGTGGAGACATACGAGCAGAGCGCGGTGCAGATGGGCGGGTGGGCGACGGGGTGCAGCAGCCTCAGGTGCTCCAGCAGCTGCCGCGCATGGGGCCTAGTGGGTGGGATGATGGATGGGTAGATGGGTGGATGGGTGGGTGGGAGGGTGGGTGGGTGGGTGGGAGAAAGGGTGGGGAGAACTCAACTCAGAGTCTTATTTGCCTAAGTGTGGTGAGGGGAGGCACTAAACCCCTTTTGGCTCAGGTGCTCCAGCCAGCCAGCCAAAAGGGGTTCAGGTGCTCCAGCCAGCCAGCAGCTGCTGCGCATGGGGCCTGCTGTGTGCGGGGGAGGATGGGTGGGGCGGCTTCAGGTGTTAGAGGAGTGGATGGAAGCAAGGAGTGTGAATCACCTCAAAAGCATCGAGGTCGTCGAAGCGCAACTATCATCCAAGCAGTCAGCTTACGCAAAGACGAGAAACCACACACACACACACACACACACACACGCACGCACGCACGCACGCGCACGCACACACACACACACACACACACACACACACACACATGCAAACACACACAACAAAGAAGACAGTTAGAAGAAAGAGAACATACTCACCAGTCATCCACCAGCAGCAGCGCCTTGAGCAGGCGCATCTTTTCGTTGCTCTCCGCCTCGCCCCACTCCTCGGTTAAGTGAGAAGCAAGCACAAGGCAAGCATCATCAACTCACCAGTCGTCCACCAGCAGCAGCGCCTTGAGCAGGCGCATCTTATCGTTGCCCTCCGCCTCGCCCCACTCCTCGGTTAAGTGAGAAGCAAGCACAAGGCAAGCATCATCAACTCACCAGTCATCCACCAGCAGCAGCGCCTTGAGCAGGCGCATCTTATCGTTGCCCTCCGCCTCGCCCCACTCCTTGGCAGCAGCGCTCTCCTGCCCGTCCACCGCCCCGTACAGGTCGATCGTCACGTCTGCTGGCTGCGGGTCGTCTGTCAGGTCCCGCCCCGTCGCTGCTAGGTTGATCTTTCCTATGCGGTTCACCTGGGGGGGAGCGGAATGCAGGGGAACGGGGGAGAATGGGGGACGATTCGGCCGCAAAAAAAAAGGAGAGGGGCGAGGGGGGAGGGGAGAAAAGCGGGTGTTTGAAAAGGAGCAGCGCTCTCCTGCCCGTCCACTGCCCCGTACAGGTTGATCAACACGTCTGCTGGCTACGGGTCGTCTGTCAAGTCCCTCCCCGTCGCTGCCAGGTTGATCTTTCCTATGCGGTTCACCTGCGGGAGAGAGGGGAGGGGAGATGGAGAACGCAAAGAAATGAGGGTGCGAGCAGATGGTGATGTGGGCAGGGGGTGGCGTGTGGGGTGGAGAAGGGAGGACGCGACAAAAGGTGGAAAGTGGAGATGTGGGGATAGGGGGGGTAGCGAACGGGGAGGTGGCATAAGGGGGGCTGGCATAGGGGGAAGGCAGCGGCGAGTGAGCAGAGCAGAGTGCGGAGGGCAGGCAGACAAGCAGTGCACAACTAGCAGACAAGCAGTGCACGAATAGCAGACAAGCAGTGCACAACTAGCAGACAAGCAGTGCACGAATAGCAGACAAGCAGTGCACGAATAGCAGACAAGCAGTGCACAACTAGCAGACAAGCAGTGCACGAATAGCAGACAAGCAGTGCACGAATAGCAGACAAGCAGTGCACAACTAGCAGACAAGCAGTGCACGAATAGCAGACAAGCAGTGCACGAATAGCAGACAAGCAGTGCACGAATGGCAGACACGCAGTGCACGAATAGCAGACAAGCAGTGCACGAAGAGCAGACAAGCAGTGCACGAATAGCAGACACGCAGTGCACGAATAGCAGACAAGCAGTGCACGAATAGCAGACACGCAGTGCACGAATAGCAGACAAGCAGTGCACGAATAGCAGACAAGCAGTGCACGAATAGCAGACAAGCAGTGCACGAATAGCAGACAAGCAGTGCACGAATAGCAGACAAGCAGTGCACGAATAGCAGACAAGCAGTGCACGAATAGCAGACAAGCAGTGCACGAATAGCAGACAAGCAGTGCACGAATAGCCTGCACCGTGAGCTGGCAACTGTAAATTGCTGAGCAACAATTTACATGTCTGTGTGCGCAGCAACTCACATCCGCTATTCTCTGTGCGTTCATCTCCTTGCTGCGTGCCTCTGCCTCCTCGTCTGGCGGGTCCAAGAACGGGTACCTGCCACACACGCACGAGCCCAGGCCACGCAGGGACAAACGCAGGGTGAGAGTAGGGTATGCTCTTTAAACTATTTGCCTGGTATGCTGTGAGCTGTTCTTGCCTGGTATGCTGTGAGCTGTTCTTGCCTGGTATGCTGTGAGCTGTTCTTGCCTGGTATGCTGTGAGCTGTTCTTGCCTGGTATGCTGTGAGCTGTTCTTGCCTGGTATGCTGTGAGCTGTTCTTGCCTGGTATGCTGTGAGCTGTTCTTGCCTGGTATGCTGTGAGCTGTTCTTGCCTGGTATGCTGTGAGCTGTTCTTGCCTGGTATGCTGTGAGCTGTTCTTGCCTGGTATGCTGTGAGCTGTTCTTGCCTGGTATGCTGTGAGCTGTTCTTGCCTGGTATGCTGTGAGCTGTTCTTGCCTGGTATGCTGTGAGCTGTTCTTGCCTGGTATGCTGTGAGCTGTTCTTGCCTGGTATGCTGTGAGCTGTTCTTGCCTGGTATGCTGTGAGCTGTTCTTGCCTGGTATGCTGTGAGCTGTTCTTGCCTGGTATGCTGTGAGCTGTTCTTGCCTGGTATGCTGTGAGCTGTTCTTGCCTGGTATGCTGTGAGCTGTTCTTGCCTGGTATGCTGTGAGCTGTTCTTGCCTGGTATGCTGTGAGCTGTTCTTGCCTGGTATGCTGTGAGCTGTTCTTGCCTGGTATGCTGTGAGCTGTTCTTGCCTGGTATGCTGTGAGCTGTTCTTGCCTGGTATGCTGTGAGCTGTTCTTGACCTCTCCAAGACAACGAAACCTAGCACCGATTACCACAAGCCACAAGCAAGCATGCGACTCACAAGGCAGCGAGCTGCACCACGTTGCTCTTGAGGCAGTTAGCTGCCAACACAAACAGGCTGTCTGGTATCCGCCCCTCCGCCCCACTGCCACCCTCCCCCTTCTCTCCTCCCTCGCCATCACCACCTGCTCCCCCTGCCCCCGCTTTTACTGCACTTCCTTTCTCCCTCCCTGCACCCTCTCCCTTGCTGTTCCCCCCGCCCTCCTTCCCCCCTTTGCTTCCTGCAGCAGCAGCAGCAGCAGCAGCAGCGGCGGCAGCAGTGGCGGTGAGGCGGTGGTAGTGGCTGAACTTGAACCCCAGGATCTGAGGCGCGTGCGACTGAGGGGGCAGGGGGGAGAGTGGGAGATGGAAGGGTGTGACGTGTTAACTTCTTGCTGCTCCCCGCTACAGCAGCAGCAGCAGTGGCGGTGAGGTGGTGGTAGTGGCTGACCTTGAACCCGAGAATCTGGGGCGCGTGCGACTGAAAGGCGCAGGGGAGAAGGGGTTGGAGGGGGGAGCGTGGAAGGGTGTGTGACATGTTAGCTTCTTGTGCTCCCCGCTGCAGCAGCGGTGGCGGTGAGGGGGTGGCAATGGCTGACCTTGAACCCCAGGATCTGAGGCGCGTGCGACTGCAGGATGATCAGGAGGGAGGGACCGGGAGGTGGAAGCCGACTGAAACAGCGATGGTCGAGGAGCCACATAAATGTTTGCATAAATGTCACTGCAAGAGACCGCACGCACAGCACCACGCAGCACAGGCCCCCACAGCACTGCACCGCACAGCATCCACCACCAGCACGCACCTCAGGGAAGAGCTTGACGAGGTGGAGGAAGGCAGAGTTGGTGGGGTGCATCTCGTAGCAGTCGAGCACCTGGTGTGATGTGAGAGAAAGACACACGCGGCGAAAACGGCAGAGCGAGAGAGCAGAGAGAGAAGGAATACAGAGGGAGGGAGGGAGGGAGGGAGGGATGGGGGATAAGGATGCAAGAGACAGGCCAGGATTGAGAGAAAAGGCTCTGGTATGTGGAGTGATGTACGGACGACAAGCATGTCATGCAGTGAGCTGAGCTGAGCTGAGCATGTGGTGAGCATGGCATGTGGTGAGCTGAGCTGAGCATGGCATGTGAACGAATGGCATGCAATGACATGATGAGCATGGCATGGCATGGCACTTCCACGTTTCTGTGAGCCTGATAAAATAGGCCAGTGGTGCTATTCTTACAATGTCAAACACCCGGTTCGGGTCCAGGTCAAAGAGGCCGATGAGAGACTGCCAGGGAAGAAGGGAGGGGTCGGGGTGGGGAGGAAGGGGGGGAGGGGCGTACAGGACAATGTCAAGCACACGGTTGGGGTCCAGGTCAAAGAGGCCGATGAGAGACTGCCAGGGAACGCGGGACAGACAGAGGAAGGGGGGGAGGGAGGGTGGGGAGGAAGGGGGAGGGGGGAGTAGGGGACAATGTGACAACGTCGAACATGCGGTTGGGGTCCAGGTCAAAGAGGCCGATGAGTGACTGGCAGGGAAGGGGGACAGACAGAAGAGAAGAGGGGGAGAGGAGAGAGGAGAGGCGAGAGGAGAGGAGAGAGGAGAGGAGCTTAGTGGAGAAAGACGCACGCGTCCTGCTGCGTCCTGCGTCTGGACGCAGCGTCCAGACGCAGAGACGCAGGACGCACCCTGTTTTTTTTCGGGCTGACCGGAAAAAAAAAAATTGCCTCAGCGCGAAATTGACTTCAACGATTTCGACGCGACTGTCAATTTCGCGTCATGTCGACCCCCCCTAACCCATTTAGACCATCAAAAACACCCTAGAAGGTTTACCAAGACAATTCTCCTTTGTAAACCCTAAACCCTGGAAGTTTAAAGGGGACAATTTTGCCTCAAATGTGTGCATCGTCGTTCCCCCCCCCCTTCCCATACCCTATAACATCAATTTTCGGCTGCCCGGGGGTTTTTTTTGCCCTGCCCGGGCATGCGTCTTTTCATGCGTCCTAAAGGCCCTCCTCTAGCGTCCTGCGTCTAAGACGCTGCGTCTGGACGCAAGCGTCCTAGACGCAGGACGCGTCTTTCTCCACTAAGGAGAGGAGCATAGAGGACAATGTGAGAGCGAGTGAGAGCACAACAGTCAGCAATGGTTGCTTAAGCAGGAGTTTTGTCTGCAGTGTCTGCATCCAACAGCAATTAAAGCAAATCACTTTTAAACATCCGCCACTAATAGCAGCCACTCACTCACCTTTACAGCATCCACCACAGCACTGGCTGATCGTGAGTTGAGTCCTAGAGGGCCCTTCTGACTCAGTATGGTGATCTGCCAGTAGTATGGAACAAGGAGCGAGAAATTACGTATCATTGAGGTAGATTATCACGAATGATGTTTCACATACCACATGTAGAATCACAGAACGAGCTGACTCAAGACTTTTGAAAGCCTCAAATAAAAACACCGCTCACAAAGTAATGTGGCAGTCAATCAATCAGATCCTCCACCCTCTTATTTCTCCCTCCCTTTTCCCATCCTCCTCATTGTGCGGTGGGGTTGGGGTTGGGGGAGCATTCATTCATTCATTCGAGCAGATTGAACTCGGTCTGTGTGTCTTCAAGTTGACTCAAACGTCACCTGGATATTACGTTACAATACATCTTTCAATCTCTCCATTTCTCTCTCTCACCAGTTTTGCATATCCCTCGGAGTCCTCTCGGAGCAGGTTGAACTTGGTCTGTGTGTACACAAGTCGTGTGTTCACTCGCACCTGCCAGGTGAACGGGGCAGGCAGGCAGCGAACAGAGAGGAGCAGAGACGGAAGAAAGACAGCTTCTAAAATGACTCAAAATTGGGCGTGCTCGTAGAGTACATCAAGTGAGTGAGGGTCCACTTGCACGCACCTGGCAGATACCAGGAAAGCAGGCAGAGGCGCACACAGGAGGCCTATGCAAAACCCAACTTGTTTGATTAAGATTGGGGCATAGCAGAGCATTATTTATTAAGGGCAGAGCAGAGCAGGGCAGAGACAGCAAGCAAGCATATAACCAGGGAATGGACGTGAAGGCGGAAAAGAACAGGCTAGCGGGCGGGAGAGGAGGGTGGAGGGGTGGGGGGGAGAGAGGTGGGAGAAGGTGAGAGGGGGGCGTGGATGTGGATTGGCAGTGACGGCTTACACATTTCTTCTTGAGCTCCGAGGGCTCCATCTTGATCAGCTCCGCCTCCCACAGCAGCTCCTCCTGGGGGCATGGAGAAGGTGGAGGTGCGGCGAGGTAGCGAGGAGTGAGTGTGGTGGGGGGAGGAGGGGGAGGGGAGGAGGTGGCAAGGGGAGGGAGGGTAGGTGAGGGGGGAGTAGAAAGAGGAGGGAAGGTGAGGGGCGAGCCGGCAAGGTGGGTGAAGATTGGTTCTCTAGCCTCCTGAGACGGGCATGCGCCTTTTTCTTCTTTGGAACATGACGCTTGAAGACATGGGCTTTAAGAACGGAGGTGGATGGGCAATAATGAGAAAAGACTGTTCTACCAGTGGAAGAACCGAAGGGTATCCTGCTGCTGCTACGAGGGTGCACTTGCACTTGCCTCACAGCGATCTTGCAGCATGCGAGGTGTCACGACCCCATTGGACGCCAGCCACTTGGTCTGATGTAGACAGAGACACGGAGGGCAGAGGCATTGTAGAGAGAGAAGGGAAAAGGAAGATGGAATTGGGACGAGACGGGAGCGGGTGCGGTATGAAATAGGCATGGAGGGAAAATGGCTCTCAGAAACACGCGAGCACATGCACATTATGCCATTTAACAGAGAGTGCTGCCATCGCCCTCAATGGAAATACCCTCCTATTTCCAGCTTCATTTCACTTCATTCACCCTCTGCCGCAGATTCATCCCGCTCACATTTTCTGCCGTGATGACACACTCTGCTGTCCTTATAATCAACTCACTCAGAGCTCCTCCCTCCCACCGCTTTACCTCACATTTCAGCTCCGAATGTGGAATCATCTCAGCCTTTCATCTCATCTCACTCTTCCACGCCATCTCACAGTTTCACATCATCTCGCTCACAGTTTCATCTCATCTCCCTGTTTTGCCGCACTCACCAGCTCCACCAGTCGTCGACGCAGGTCAGTCTGGCCAGACACCTGTGAGTGAGTGAGTGAGCCAAGCAAAGCAGGAAGCAAGCAGGAAGCATGCACAAAGGGATTGGTTGGCAGAGCTCTGGAACCAGGCCTTAGAACGAAACAACAAAGGGATTGGTTGGCAGAGGTGAACAAACAGCAGAGACTTTCATCCCAACTTTGAGCAGGGTTGACTTGTTAGAATCCTCAAGAGTCAATCCAGTTCAACTCAACGTAATTCAAACGCCAGCTGAGCCACCGTGTGTCCTCCAGAAGGGCGGGCACATCTGGGGCGGGGTTTACATGGTTGAGATGTGTTTAATGTCAATATCTCTACATTACAGCGTAGTGTACCTCGAACGCCAGCTGAGCCACAGTGTCGGCCAGGAGGGAGGGCACATCTGGGGCAGGCGGGGACTGCTCATCCGCCGCACGCTGGTCCGCGGCAGTTCCTGCGCCCGCGTCGAGGGAGGCAGAGGGCGGAAGGGGAAGGCCTGCGGACTGCAGCGCGGCTGGGATCCGCGCGGGTGGCAGGTCGCCGTGCACCTGGAGAGAAGGGAGGCGGGAAAACAGGCGGTTAAGCGGGACAGCATTTGTTTGTGCTCTGGATGCAGAAACTCCACAGCTGACGAATTAGGGTTTCTCTCGCGACAATCTAACGTCCCGTATTCTGCGGTCCTGGTTGGTATATTTGTTCATGCGGTGACTACTACGGTCGTTTTCTTCGCAGCGACGGTGATTGGTCGGGTATGAAACCCGAACTCTGTGGAGTGGGTAAGCACAAAAAAGAAAGCGGTAAAAGGAACCTCTACTCTAACTACTCAGGAATCTAGGCCAAGCACAGGCACCGTCGCAAATGACACTGGTAATCTCAGCCTTGTTGATCTCTTTCAGCGGCAAGACGAGCAGCCACGGACGAATCGGATTGAGCCGGAGAGATCACATAGGCGGTGCGACAGCAGGCTAGGCAGAGAAAGGGTATGCAATGCAAGAGGCGGCCGCAGGGAAACGCCATTATCGGGTGGTTGACTCGGCTCCGACTCAACGAATCGAAATGTCGGCTCAGCTTCAACTGTCGAGGCTTGGCTGACTGATTACTGTCAGCTTGACGAGCTCTGATCCTTGAAAACGCTCGTTTGTTGATCGATTTACCGTACTACACGAGCACGAGCATTACGCGAAAGTCGTTTCGCGAGCTCAAACCCCGTAACGGCATTTAGCGGCTACTGATATGCATGAGTACGTGATCCGTAGCTGTCAGCCATACTAATTGACTTGTCTGAAAGTCTATCACTCACCACCGTCCAGCACTCACCACCGTCCAGCACAGCTCGTAAATGAATCGCAGAGGCGAATCGACGACTGTCGTCGCGGCGATCGGATCCGACGACGTGCGCCATCGCTGAACCTGCTGCTCCGTCGCATATTTACATCGGACGGTGCTGACAAATCCTGATGACGTGGAAGGAGGAGCCATCGCGAGGCTTCCTTGCTCAACACTCAACTGGCGTAATCAGGTATCCGAGAAAAACATTAGGTTTCAATAATAATGAGGCTGTTTTATTGAAGCGTACCACCATGCACGGGGAGTCAGTGAGACAAAAACTAAGGGCGAGCTCGGATCGTGCACTAGCTATTGATGGGGAATAGTTATGACAATGGATAGAAGCTGCGAGTCACATGAAACTGCGACCTGCGTGAAATCAAGTATCAAACTAACAATCCGCAGCCCTGCATTTACTTGCCTAAGATCCGCGTCCTAATTCGCAACTGAATCACTTCGAGTCCTAAAATGTCTCCGACTATTCGACGCGATTGGCACTGCGTCAGAGTGAACTGAGAGAAGAGTAGCGAGGGAAAGCACGTTCAGTCCAGGCATATTAGCATTGTAGATTGTGTACGTTGTAAGTTGCAGATTGGTATAAATCTTACTCATACTGTACCTAGATTCCTTGTACTTTGAATGTAGAGCCGACTCTTTTATTGATGAATCGAAACATACACAATCGAGTGACAGGCACCACCTCCACACCGCTCTTGCCATCCTTTTCACTTTCACCGATACAGTCACACACTGCCGCATCTACGCATTTTCCGGAACACTCAAAGTAATTTTTATGGCCCTGTCGGTAAGCTTGAGCATCAAATCCACCCTCCTTTCGAGTCCCTCATGCAACGGTACAAAACAAGATGCAATGCCTTTTCGCGACTAAATTAGTTTCTGCTGCTGCTTCTACGTCGACAAATTAGCTTCTGCGGCTGAAGCAGCGGATATCCGACATGTATATAATTCCCTATCGCTGCCGGGTACTGACGTCATTTGGTAATCGCGTCACACTGCTGAGAAGTGTGCGCGAGTAGGCGTCGGGGACAAGCAGCGACTCGAAGGAGAGCAAGCAACGTCGAAGCACACAACGGCTCCCCTTTTCACGTCATTTCAGTCCTGGCACTTTTGTTTAAAGGCTCTTGTTTCTCGCTGTGGTTTTCTTAGGTACGCGTGGGGCGACGTCATAATTGCCTCAGCGTGCAGGACGCACGATCGACGGATGGCATTTACGTAGCCTCTAGAAACGACGGAGGAGAATCGCCGTTAGTCTTTTTTCGCGACGTCTCGAAGAATTAGCGACGTGCACGGCTGGCCGGCGTCTGAGGCTGCTTAACAACAAACCTCACAGCCCGCAAAGCATTTCCTCCTATAACTCGATCGGCGAGCGAAAGAAGGCGAATTTTCTTCAGAATTCTCAAGAATCTCGTATAGGGAAATCTCCTTTCCGTCTGCAGCGCGGTTTTCGGACAAGGGTGAGGGGATCATCCGGCCTCATTCCATCACAATTTCCGTGAGTGTTTTTTGAGAATTCTCCAAGGAACTCGCGCGTAGTTGTCCACGGAGCTTGACGCCTGCACTCGCTACAGCCAGATCCGGTCTCTCTTCCACTCGTCGGCCGGTTCGCCTCCCCGCCCTCCCCACTTACCACTCCGAACCCCCATCACTCACTTCGGACTCCCCTCTCCGCGCCCCCACTTCCCCCAAACCCCCCCTCGGAACCCCACTCCGAACTCCCCGCGGCGCGGGTAGTCGAGCGATGAAGCCGAGTGGTAACCCGCCCAGCCTGAACATCGGATCCTCTTTCGCCACCTCGTCAACCGCTCGCCCGGCCGCCACCTTCCGTTCGCGGCCGTTCTTTGCAACCCCTTCCAAATCCCCCTCCTTCTCGCTCCCCTCATTCCCCTCCTGGTCCCCCTCCTACTCACGGTTACTCTGGCCCTTCACCTCCTCCCCTCGCGCTGCCTTCCATCCCGCTTCCCTCTCCTCCTTCCCCTCGCGACCCTCTCACTCCTCCCCCTCCTCCCTCCCCTTCCGCCTCCCCTTCCCCCTCCCCTTCCGCCTCCCCTTCCACCTCCCCTTCTCCTGCTCCCCTCGTTCCATCTCCCTTCCGAAGCTCCTACTCGCTCTCATCCTCTTCTCCCTCTTCCTCCTTCTCGCGCCCCTCCCAAAATGGCCCAAGCGCTTCCACTCCCCTTTCTCCGTCATCCCCCCTCCCCCCGACGGCCTATCCTTCCTCCCCTCGCGCTGCCCGCCCGCCTGCTCCCGCCACGGCTCCTGCAACGAGGAGGCGGGTAGATGCGACTGTTTACCCGGGTACACGGGGGTGGACTGCACGGAGTTGGGGTTACCCTCGTGCCGGTACGCGTGGGGAGTGGAGATGCCGTGCTTCCTGCCCTCTTCCTGTGACTGTGCGCTCGAGTGCGAGCGCTTCTTTCTGCCCCATGACGAATACTGCTTCCCCAATAACGGTACGCACGAGGGGAGGGGTGTTGTGAAGGTGTCGCGCCACGGAAATATTTATGCATAATGAGGCGACTTGAGTGGACTCCAGATGTGACCGTGCGCTCGAGTGCGAGCGCTTCTTTCTGCCCCATGACGAATACTGCTTCCCTAATAATTATATGTGTGAGTGAGGCGTGATGATGGTGCGCAAGGATGATGCATGAGGAGGCGACTCAAGTGGACTTAAAGAGTGATTGTGCGCTCGAGTGCGAGCGCTTCTTTCTGCCCCATGACGAATACTGCTTCCCTAATAATGGTATGTGTGAGTGAGGCGTGATGATGGTGCGCAAGGATGATGCATGAGGAGGCGACTCGAGTGGACTTAAAGAGTGATTGTGCGCTCGAGTGCGAGCGCTTCTTTCTGCCCCATGACGAATACTGCTTCCCTGATAATGGTATGTGTGAGTGAGGCGTGATGATGGTGCGCAAGGATGATGCATGAGGAGGCGACTCGAGTGGACTTAAAGAGTGATTGTGCGCTCGAGTGCGATCGCTTCTTCCTGCCCCACGACTAGTACTGCTTCCCTAATAACGGTATGTTTGAAGGGTAATGAGATGGTGATGCGATGGTAATGCCTCAAGGCAGGATGATGCATAATGAGGCGAGTTGAATGGATCCAGATGTGAATGTGCGCTCGAGTGTGAGCGCTGCTTCCTGCCACGAATAATGATACGCTTTTCTGCCAAAATCCTAGCTCTACCTTTAACGGTTTTTCGTCCCCTCTGCCGTCCCTCTCTCCCCCCTCTCTCACCTCCTCAGGCACCTTTTGGAAGGAGCGAACGATCGGGGCCATCATAACGCGCATGCCACTGCGCCTGCAGACGGATGGCAACGGCACTGAAACTGGGCCGCGAGAACCCTTCAGTATAAGCACACCCGTCGACACCCACAGCAGCAGCAGCAACAGCGCGTCCAGCAACCAGGCATCATCAAAAGCATCACAGGCAGCAGCTGCTGCAGCAGCTGCAGCGGCTGTTACGGCATCGCCACTGCTGTTCCCCTCCACGCCCCTCCCACCGCACCCCTTCCCATGGCTTGTTCCCCTCAACAACTGCCCCAATTACTGCTCGGGACGTGGGCTCTGCGATGCCACCTACTGGGAGTGCAGGTACGAAGGAAGGAGGGGGCGGGGCACAGGACAGGAAAGTAGTATGTGTACGATGTTCCCCTCCACGCCCCTCCCGCCGCACCCCTTCCCATGGCTTGTTCCGCTCAACAACTGCCCCAACTATTGCTCTGGACGTGGGCTCTGCGATGCCACCTACTGGGAGTGCAGGTACGAAGGAGGGAGGGGGAAAGGGGGGGAAGAGAGGAGGGGGCGGGAAGAGGGGAGGACGGGATGGGGTGGGTCACTTTGCAGGCTCGTGTGAGGGCGAGAGCTACTCAACTGCGTGCTTGGAAGAACTCACTTGCACATGTGGGTCACACACCTCCACACTCCTCCGCACCCCTCCACACCCCTTCCCCAGGTGCCCCTGGTACCATGACGGCAGTGCATGTGAGGATGAGAGCTTCTCAGTGGCGTGTCTCAACTCACTCACACATGTGGGCCACACACCTCCACACCCCTCAAAACCCTTCAACACCCCTCCACACCCCTTCCTCAGGTGCCCCTGGTACCACGACGGCAGTGCATGTGAGGACGAGAGCTTCTCGGTAGCGTGCCTCAACTCACTCGCCTGTCTGTCTTCTACACCCCTCTGCACCCCTCCAAACCCCGCCAGGTGTCCCTGGTACCACGACGGCAGTGCGTGCGAGGACGAGAGCTTCTCAGTGGCGTGTCTCAACTCACTTACACATGTGGGTGGGTGGGCCCCATCGCCCCACACATCTCCACGCTCCTCCACAACCCTCCACACCCCTTAAAACCACTCAGAACCCCTTTAAACCCCTCCACACCCATCCACAACCCTTCGCAACCAGGTGTCCTTGGTACCACGACGGCAGTGCATGTGAGGACGAGAGCTTCTCAGTGGCGTGTCTCAACGACTGCTCGCAGCGGGGCGACTGCGAGGGGGGCGTGTGTCAATGCCAGGCGGGCTTCTTTGGTGCCGACTGCTCGCTCTACTATAATGAGGAGCTGCGTCTGAGGTGAGAGGTCTGGGAAGGTTGAGAGGGATGGAAAAAGAGTTTGCTTCAGTTGCAGCCCGTGTGTGCTAGTCGGTACTGTCTGTGTGTCAGTGCCAGGCCGGCTTCTTTGTTGCCGACTGCTCGCTCTATTACAATGAGGAGCTGCGTCTGAGGTGGGTGGGGGGGGGGGGGGTACACCTTGTGTGTGCTCTTTTTTTGCCATCTGCTCACTCTTATCACAATAAGGCGAAAAGGAAACCTTTTCTCACCATCGCCAACTCCTCTTTCCCATCCTCCACCTTCCCCGCCCACCAATCAGGAGGCTCCCCGGGTCGCCCTTTCCCTGGGCCGACATTCCAGAGAGTGACACGTTCACAGCATCACCAGCAGCATCAGCAGGCGGAGAGATCCAGCCAGCAGCCTCCCTCAGCCCACAGCCACAACCAGCGCAAGAGCAGCAGCAGCAGCAGCAGCAGCAGCAGAACGACGCAGGACAAACAGCAGCAGTAGCAGAAGGAGGAACAGCAGCAGCAATAGCAGGCGGAGGAGGGGCAGCAGCAGCAATGGCAGCAGGAGGAGTGAAAGCTGCAGCAGGAGCAGCAGCAGCGGGGAAGCCCCTGAGGGTGTATGTGTACGAGTTGCCTCCGCAGTTCAACTCATGGCAGATGCAGCACTCGCCCTACATCGACCACCCCGAAGCCCTCTGGTTCTGGGAGCGGCTACTCGCCAGCCGCCACCGCACCATCGACCCGCGTGAAGCTGATTACTTCTACGTGCCTCTGCTCATCCGGTACGTGATGTGTTCGGCGTGCTTCTGGGTGCACTAGCTCTAGGTGTTAAGTGTGGTGGCTTGAGGTGATAAGTGGTGTGCACTGGCAGAGGCCCTCAGGTCCTGGGAGCGCCTGCTGGCCAGCCGCCACCGCACCATCGACCCGCGGGAAGCGGACTTCTTCTACATGCCTCTCCTCATCCGGTAGGTGCTGGTGGGTGGCTCTAGGTGCTAGGTGCTGTATACCGGTAGAGGCCCACTGGTTCTGGGAGAGAGACTTCTGGCCAGCCGCCACCGCACCATTGGCCCGCGTGGAGCTGACTTCTTCTACGTGCCTCTCCTCATCCGGTTGGTGCAGTGGAGCTAAATGCTAGGCGGTGTTACAGATAGAGCCTCTCGGGCTGCTCGCCAGTCACCTCACCACCGCTCCATCAATCCTCTTGAAGCTGACATTCTTCTATGTGCCTCTCCGCAGCTAGGGGTACAACAAATTCGCCCTGCTACCCTAACCCTTCTGTCCTTTCCCTTCCGCTCTTCCTGCCCCTCCCGCCCTGTGCCCTCTCCTTGCCCTTCCTGGCCCCTCCTCCTCCTCCCTCTGCTCCTCCTTCCCGAACCCCCAACAGCAACCGAGACAGTGGCAAGCAGCGGCTCATCTCAGAGACCATTTCCTTCATCCGCTCGCTCGGCCCCTTCTGGGACGCCAAGGGCGGGGCAGACCACATTTTCCTGGTGAGCGAGGAGTACGGCAAGTGCGCCCTGCAGCTCTACGGGCTCGAGGACCCGCGGCTAGCTTCCGCAATCACCCTCACTCCATGGGGGTACACTTGCAACATGCTCGGGACGCCAGACGGAGGCCCGTGCTTCCGGCCCAGGCAGGACATAGTGATTCCGCCCTCGGCGCATCTGAGGTTCCTGCAGAATGCGAGTATGGTGAGGGAGGCAGGAGGGCTGCCTGCGCTGGTGAGGGAGGGAGGTGCGGATGGGGAGGGAGAGGTGCAGCAGCAGGGGCAGGAGCAGCAGGAGGAGGGGAATGGTGGGCAGGGGCAGGGTGGGAGGGAACGACAGTACCTTTTGTTCGTACGAGGGCTGAATGTGAGCGACGGCAGCAGCACCTGGGACGAGGAGGCACACCCGCAGGAGCAGGGGGGGCAGCGGCAGGGAGACAACAAGGAGCAGCAGCAGGTGCAGGCAGGGAGGAAGGAGCAAGGGGAGCCGCCGTTCAGCTTTGGCGTGCGGCAGCGGGTGTTTGAGCTGTACGCGGGGCGGGACGGCGAGACGGGCTTTAAGGTGGAGGTGGTACCGGAGGGCGGCGAGGAGCTGGCGTATGGTGGCATGGAGCACAGCGTCTTCTGCCTTGCCACCGCGGGCCACGGCTGGCATGCGTCGCTCGCCATGGCCGTGATTGCGGGTTGCGTGCCCGTGGTCATTCAGGTGGGTCTCTGGTGTTGTTCAGGAGGGTCTCTGGTGTTATTCAGGTGGGTCTCCGTTGTCATTCAGGTGGGCTTCTGTTGTCGTTCAGTTGGGTCTCTGTTGTCGCTCAGGTGGGCCATTGTTGTCATTCAGTCTTGTTCTTCAGGTGAAAGCTGTGTTCTTCATTTGGGTCACAGGTATCAGTCTTGTAAGTGTGAGTGGAAGGGCCTCATGATTTATTTTTCTTTTCTTTTCTTTTAATCAACCAACCGACCTACCATCCCAACAGCCGGATGTGTTGCTTCCCTTCGAAGGAGACGGAGTGGACTGGAGTCAAGTCTCATACCGACTCAGCATTCGAGACATTCCCCAGCTGCACGAACGGCTGCAGGCAATCCCGCCAGAAGACATTGAACTCAAGCAGAAGCGCCTGCGGCAGCTATGGCCGCTCTTCATCTGGTCCGCGCCGCAGTTCAATCCGGTTGATTTTCTGCCTGAGGGGGCCCAGATGAAGGTGACTAGATTGCTTGCGCAGTATGATGCGTTCAGCGCTGTAATGTTCGCTTTGGCTAAACGGGTTGGGAAAACAGGATGGAGGGACTCGCTTTTGGACTGGTACAGGGATGGGGAAGTAGGGAAGTTGCAACATATGAACTGAAGTTAACATGTATAATCAATAGTCATATTATTTGTAGTATAATATTTCTCTAAGTAGTGCTTTTCTCTGGTGCTTTCCTCTATTGTTATCTCAATGTCTGGTATGTTGACACAGCATTGGAAGTATCCTGACGTAACCTTCCAGGTGGCACAATCCCGGTCGCCAAGAAGATGTTCTACCGTCCAGCGCAGACCAGGGCGATGGATTCTTCCATAAGCTCAACACCTGATTGGCCAGCACTACTCGAAAATGCCCTTGTCTTACCCCTCCATCTAAAGTCCCTTCATCAAAACACCTTCAACCGTCTTATAACGTCGTCAACCGTTTTTTCACCACTTCCGCACAATCCTTGTTCTTCTGCTCCCCCATGCTCTTTCTTCGCGGAACAAAGCTCGAATTTGCTAGAAAATCAGCTGTCGCTGGCTTGTCATCAGATTATTACGTGTACTTCCTTCCTGCTTCGCGCTGGGAATCGTGTTTGTCATTCTTCACGTACCCCGAATATATATCGCCTTCTCTCTGCTCCAGATTTGCTTCGACTGCGCGGTCTTCCAAAAATGGCCGGCCTACTTTCCTCATCCATGCAGGGAGCTCTCCTGAAGCTGCCTGCAGCAGCTCCCATCTCCGCTCCCCCATCTCGCACACTCACCGCCGTAGTCGCTCACACCGGCGCATTTCCCTCGAGGAGACAGACGGCATCCAGCAAAAGACCATTGTCAACGCCGATGCGCGCGTCGGAGCTGACGGCGATCGACACGTTTACGGCAGAACTGGACGAGCTGGAGGGAATGATTGACGGAGAGTACGAGGAGGTTCCGGTGCACACGGTGACGGTGCACGACCGGGAACGAGGAGTCACGTATACGGTCGACGTGCCTCAGGTAAGACTCGATGACGCGTAGTAGGACATGATCATGGATGTATGGAAAAATATGCAGGTTACTGATTGGGTCATCCGCTGGATGTTGTAAACTGGAGTGAAAAACGAACTAGCGAGAACCTTCATCCCATTGTGCCTATAGCTTGACCTAGGTCCCTCGGGCGTTGGTTATGTTTTTACGCGGCAAAGGCAGCAGGTTGGTTGGCAGACGCCCGCAAATAAGCACGTTCACTATTCGGTGTTGATAATGTTCAATGACATGTCAAACATTATATGTTTGTGTGGTTCTAGGCTGTAGTGGGTCACACCATAGGGGGTACACCAGATTAGGGTTTCATATTTGTACTCTTGTTCCTGCTAGTCACTCTCATTCCTGTTTCTCATTCTCACATGGTATTACGAGCCTAGGTTCCACCTAGGACCGGAACGTTAGGGCCCACCGTTTCCGCTAGCCGCGCCCTCGTGCGCCGCCTTTTCCTAGGCCCCTCACGGCCCCTCGCGTCGCCCCTTGCGGCCTCTCATGGCCCCGTCTTAAGACCCCGCGCTAGCCCCTTAAGGCCCCGCGCCGGCCCCGCGCTAGCCTCTCACGGCCCCCCCCTATGGCCCCGCGCTAGCCCCTAACGGCCCCGTGTAGCCCCGCGCTAGCCTCCCACAGCCCACCTACGGCCCCGTGCTAGCCTCCTACGGCCCCGATTGGCCCCGCGCTAGCCGCCCCGTAAGGCCCCTCGCTAGCCTCCCACGGCCCCTTCAGGCCCCGCGCTAGCCTCCCACGGCCCCTTAAGGCCTCGCGCTAGCCTCCTACGGCCCCCAAATGGCCCCGCGCTAGCCCCGACCGGCCCCCGAACGGCCCCTCCCGCGCTCGCCCCTCTACGGCCGAGCCGCACAGCGCGACCCTAGCTGCACCGCGCGACCCGAGCCGAACCGCGCGACCCAGCCAAGCCGCGCCGCCCCAGCCGAGCCGCGCCGCCCTAGCCGAGCCGCGCCGCCCTAGCCGAGCCGCGCCGTCCTAGCCGAGCCGCGCCCGCCTTACCTGAGCAGCAGCACCACTACTGCTACTGCTACTGCTACTACTACCGCTGCTACTGCTAGTACTGCTACTGCTACTGCTACTTCTGCTACTGCTACTTCAGCTATGGCTAGCCCTCCAGTTCTCTCGTTCGATGCTGAGGGCCGCCCGATTAAGTTTGAGACCTGGCTTGATGATCTGCACCTGTTCCTCCAGCTCACTGCCAGAGAGGATATCTCGCTGTACGATCACGCACTAGGCACAGTCCCTCCTCCTGCTACTACTGCTACTGCTACTGCTCGCTCACAGTGGCAGACTCGCGATGCCCACGCCCGCTTTGCTATTCGCAACTCCCTGCCAGTCGACGAGCGCGAGCACTTTGGCCAGCATCAGACTGCGCAGGCCCTGTACACTGCTGTAGTTGCGCGCTACTCCTCCCCGGCCTCAGCTGCACTAGGCCGCCTCTCGCTTCCCTACCTGTTCCCCGACCTGTCCGCCTTCCAGACAGTCGCTGACCTCATCACTCACCTCCGCACTAGTGATGCCCGCTTCCATGCAGCCATGCCCGCTGAGTTTCTTGCCTCCAACCCTACCCCGCTCTGGCTCACTCTCTACCACCTAGTCACCCGCCTCCCTGACACTCTGCGTACAGTCAGGGACCACTTCCTAGCTCGCTGCCCCATTGAGCTCACCATTACCGCCCTAGAGAAGGAACTACTTGCAGCTGAGAAGAGTATTGTAGCTGTAGGTACCTCTCGTGGCGACCCCCGCACCCCTTTCTTCGAGGGGTGTTCCCCCTCCCCCCTGCTCCCCTCTGTCGCCTCTGCTGCTGCTGACGACCTCCTTGGTGCTGAGCAGGTCGGCTCTGCGTCTGCTCCCAGCGGGCGTCGCAGCGGCAAGGGCAGGGGAGGCAAGGGCGGTGGGGGTGACGGCGGGGGAGGCGGTGGTGGGGGTGGTGGCGGCGGTGGGGGTGGTGGCGGGGCTGGAGGGGCTAGTGGCAGCGGTGGGAGTGGTGGAGGCAGCGGCGGCGGCGGTGGCCGGGGTGGGGGCGGTGGTGGTGGCGGCAGTGGACGTGGAGGCGGCAGGGGCGGTGGTGGTCGTGGTGGAGGCGGCGGTGGTGGTCGTGGAGGCTCTGGCACTGGCCAGAACGCGCAGCACCCTCAGTCCTCCCAGGAGCTTCGTGAGTGGTACTTACAGCACGGGGGTGGGGGGGGTAGCCTTAGCTGCACATACGTCATCCGCACTGGTCGCCGCAAGGGACAGACGTGCGGGAGGGCGCACACTGCGCAGCGCTGCTTCTCTCGCCTAGATGACGCGTGGCGTGCTCAGTTTCCTGACGCTCCTGAGCTCCCTCAGTGGGCTGATCTCCTCAAGAAGGATATCGATATCTATGCTCTTGATTTTGATGTTATTCTCAAAGCCATGTATGCATTGACTATCAGTGGAGAGGAGGACCAGTACCTGTGTGTTCCGCCTGACCCAGGCATCCGCACGAGTGAGGCTGCCGCCCTAGGTGCTTGCGTGTCTGCTGCCCCAGGTGCTAGTGCGGCTACTACTCTAGGTGCTTGTGTGTCCGCCACCCCAGGCACTACTGAGTCCACTGAGGCACTGCACACCTTCACTCTAGACTCAGGCGCTTCGCGCTGTTTCTTTCGTGACCGCACTGCTCTTGAGCCCCTTGCTCGACCAGTCGCTGTCTCGCTCACTGACCCCTCTGGGGGTCCGGTCATTGCGACCTCCTCCACTGTCCTTCCTTGTCCTGCTGTCCCGTCGGGCACACTGTCAGGTCTCAACCTCCTCTCGTTCTCTACGAACTTGGTGGCAGGTTGTGTGCTTCAGGATGGGGGTGTTCACCAGTTCACCCCTGCCTACGAGCGCGTGACACACTGCACGTGTGCTCGGACGGGCCGTCACCTGGCTACCTTCACTCGGCAGCCGGGGTCGGACCTGTACACACTGACCACTGAGTCCCCTCAGGTAGCGGCGTCTGCGTCAGGTCAGCTGTCTGCCCCCTGCTCGTGTCGCTCTCTAGCGCACAAGACTGTCCTCTGGCACCACCGACTTGGTCACCCGTCAGTGCAGCGCCTTCGGGGCATGCACTCCCGGCACCTTGTCTCTGGTCTTCTTCGGGTACTCCCTCCCCTCCCACCCTCCCTTGCTCCTGCGTGTCTTCCCTGTGTCGAGGGGCGGCAGCGCGCTGCCCCTCACTCCTCCTCGTTCCCCCCGACGACAGCTCCTTTGCAGACGCTCCACATGGACGTGTGGGGCCCAGCCCGCGTCCGTGGTCAGGGTCAGGAGAGGTACTTCTTGATCGTCGTTGACGACTACTCGCGCTACACCACGGTCTTCTCCTTGCGCACCAAGGGTGAGGTCCCTGATGTCCTGATCCCTTGGATCAGCAGAGCACGTCTTCAGCTGCGAGAGCGTTTTCGCTCGGAGTTTCCTGTCCTGCGCTTGCACTCTAACAGAGGTGGCGAGTTCTCCTCCGACCTCTTGGCAGCCTACTGTGCCAAGCACGGCATTCGCCAGTCGTTCACGCTTCCGGCCTCTCCACAGCAGAATGGGGTTGCTGAGCGCCGCATTGGCTTGGTCATGGAGGTCGCTCGTACCTCCTTAGTCCACGCGGCTGCCCCCCACTTTCTGTGGCCGTTTGCGGTCCGGTACGCTGCGCATCAGCTCAACCTCTGGCCCCGTGTCTCCGCTCCGGAGACCTCGCCCACACTGCTGTGGACGGGGGAGGTTGGCGATGCGTCACGCTTCCGTGTCTGGGGATCCCGAGCTTTTGTTCGCGACACGTCTGCGGACAAGCTCTCCTCCCGCACTGCTCCCTGTGTCTTTCTTGGCTTTGTTCCGGATGCGTCTGGCTGGCAGTTTTACCACCCCGCCTCGCACCGCGTCTTCCCCTCTCAGGACGTTACTTTTGACGAGTCCGTGCCCTTCTACCGCCTCTTCCCCTACCGCACTACCCCGCTCCCTCCCCCGCCTCTCTTCCTCGCGCCAGGTGCTGCAGTGGTAGACCCCCTTCCCCCTCAGGGTGCCGCTCCCTCAGGTGTCTCTCAGGTAGACCCGGTTGAGCCTGCCGAGGTAGCTGTCGACTCGCGTCCTGCTAGAGGTGCTGAGCCTGAGCGTGCGGAGCCTGAGCGTGCGGAGCCTGAGCGGGTGGAGCCTGGGGGTGCTGAGTCTGGGGGTGCTGAGACTGGGGGTGCTGAGCCTGGGGGTGCTGGGTCTGGGGGTACTGAGCCTGGCGTTGCTGAGTCTGGGGGTGCTGAGCCTGGTGGTGTTGCAGTTGACTGTGAGGCGCCTGGAGGACCTCCCTCTTCGCAGCAGCTACGTGAGTGGTACTCACGGTACTGCACCCTCCGGCAGGGTACGTCTCGGGCTCGTGGTGCTACTAGAGTTGGTACTCGTGTTTCCCCACCACGGCGGGAGCCGCCCTCTTCCCCACAGCTTCGAGAGTGGTACGCTCGGCACATCAGTCTCCGGAGTGGAGCTGCTGGTGCTGGGGTCCCCGGAGTTGACGCTGCTGCGGGTGCTGCGGACCCTGGTGCTGGAGGTGCTGCTGCTGCTGGCGGTGATGCTAGAGGTGCTGCTCGTACTGAGGACCCGGGCGTTGGAGCTGCTGTGGGAGCTGCGGACCCTACTGCTGGAGGTGCTGCTGCTGCTGGAGGTGCTGCTGGTGCTGCTGGAGGTGCCGCTGCTGCCGCTGGAGTGGGGGACCCTGAGGGTGGAGCTTCTGCTGGTGTTGAGGACCCTGCCGCTGGTGTCTCTGCTGGTTCAGGAGTTGCTGCACGGCCACGGCCGTACTTCGTTCCGCTCCTTCAACAGGTTCTTGGTCAGACTCCTCCTCCTTGTCCTCCTCTCGCCTTAGAGTGTCCGCCGTCTGTCCAGTCACAGCCACAGTTACCGCCTGCCTCCCCACTCCCTGTGCCTACTCCTTACACTGGTCCGACTGGAGGTCTTGCTGAGAGACGTGAGCCTGCTTCACGTCCTGTGTCACCTGCGTCTCGTCGAGCGTCGCCTGTTCGTGCTGCTACCACTGGTAGTCGTGTCCAACGTCAGCGTCCTCCTGCTGTCCCAGGCACTCACCAGATGGCGCTTCGTCAGTCCACTGCTCCACAGCGTGTCGCTCTCCCGTCGCCTCCTGCGTCCTCTCTTCCTGCTCTTGCTGACCCGGAGTCAGACACCCTTCGTGCTGCCACTCCTACTGTCACACGTCTCCTGGCTACAGTTGTCACTGACCCTTCCTTTGAGTCCGCTGCTGCGTCTGCCTTAGTCACTGAGCTTGTCGACTTTGCAGTTGCGTGTCGTCTAGACTACGCTGCCAGTCTTGTTGCTGAGTCTGAGTCTGTCTATCCTCTGTCCGTCGGGGGTGAGTGTGCTCTTGGCACGGACGTTCTTGAGGACAGACAGGAGGAGTTTGGTTGCCTTGCCGCTGCTTTGCCCCGTCTCGTGTCCATGCTTGTTGCCCCTGAGGGAGACCCGGATGCACCAGACATCCCGACCCCACGCTCTTACGCAAAGGTGATGGCCGGTCCCTACTCCTCTCAGTGGCAGTCAACCATGGACACAGAGATGGCTTCCTGGAAGTCCTCTGGCACCTACGTCGACGAGGTTCCCCCACCTGGGGCGAACATCGTCAGTGGCATGTGGATTTTCAGGGTGAAGCGGCCGCCGGGCTCTCCACCTGTCTTCAAGGCGCGTTACGTTGCACGAGGCTTCAGTCAGCGAGAGGGAGTTGACTTCTTCCAGACCTTCTCCCCGACCCCGAAGATGACCACTCTTCGGGTTCTGCTACACGTTGCCGCTCAGCGTGACTACGAGCTCCACTCTCTTGACTTCAGCACAGCTTTCTTGCAGGGCAGCCTGCACGAGGAGATCTGGCTGCGCCGCCCACCTGGCTTCACTGGGTCGTTCCCTCCTGGTACCAAGTGGAGCCTTAGGCGGCCAGTCTACGGTCCCCGCCAGGCGCCACGTGAGTGGCACGACACACTGAGGACTACACTTGCAGCTCTTGGGTTCGCTCCTTCTACTGCTGACCCGTCGCTGTTTCTACGCACTGACACCTCACTGCCGCCGTTCTACATCCTCGTGTACGTCGACGACTTGGTCTTTGCCACTTTTGACACAGCTGGTCTCGCTCACGTGAAGTCCGAGCTGCAGAAGAGACACACGTGCACAGACCTGGGTAAACTGACAAGCTATCTTGGCTTGCGGATCACCCGGGACAGAGCACGGCGCACCATCACCTTGACTCAGTCACACATGGTGCAGCAGGTCCTTCAGCGCTTCGGCTTCACGTACTCCTCGCCTCAGTCCACTCCTCTGCCTACGGGACACTCGCTCTCAGCTCTGCCTTCGGATGAGTCCGTAGAGCCGAGTGGTCCGTATCCAGAGCTTGTGGGCTACCTCATGTACCTGATGACCTGCACTCAACCTGACCTTGCATACCCTCTCAGCATCTTAGCACGCTATGTCGCTCCCGACCGTCACCGGAAGGAGCACATGGATGCAGCTAAGAGGGTGTTGCGCTACTTGTGCAGTACGTCGGGCATGGGGCTAGTGCTTGGAGGGCGAGACCGGCCTGTTCTCACTGGGCACTCAGACGCTTCTTGGGCAGACGACCAGGCTACTCAGCGGTCGTCTCAGGGTTACTCCTTCAGTCTTGGCTCTGGCTCTGTCTCTTGGCGTTCTACTCGTTCTTCTTTTGTTCTCGGCTCCAGCTGTGAGGCTGAGATCTACGCCATGGCCATGGCTGCCCAGGAGCTTCGCTGGCTCACCTACCTACTGACTAACCTTGGAGAGCAGCCTCGTTCTCCTCCAGTGCTGTACGTCGACAACAAGGCAACCATAGCCTTGTGTCAGGAGCACAGACTGGAGCACAGGACGAAGCACATTGCTCTGCGTTACTTTCTAGCTCGAGAGCTACAGCAGCGTGGTCAGCTTCTTCTGCGCTACGTGGCCACTCAGGCCAACACTGCTGATGTGTTCACCAAGGCGCTTCCGCCTGTTGACCATCAGCGTTTTTGCACTCTTCTAGGCCTTGTGCCGACTGTTCCTCACTTGCTTACTTCTTGACCTTGCCTGTACTGTGATCATTATATATATACCTGCATGTTTGCCCTTGCTAGGTTGTGATCATTGTACCTCTTGCTCTGTTATAAAACTGCATGTGAACTGGTCTTGTGACCGCTTACTTGTGCTCGGAATTTGTGTGGAATCCTCGAGATCCACCCTGAGCTTGTTTGCCTTGTTTTGCCTTGACTGGTCTTGTGACCCCTAGGTCTCCCCCACTTTGCCTATGGGGGTGTGTCAAACATTATATGTTTGTGTGGTTCTAGGCTGTAGTGGGTCACACCATAGGGGGTACACCAAATTAGGGTTTCATATTTGTGCTCTAGTTCCTGCTAGTCACTCTCATTCCTGTTTCTCATTCTGACATGATAGCGATGACAACATTGAATCGATATCTCTATCATTCTCAGTAACATGAGATGGCATCTTGAATACCAGCCAGCTCACGCGTTTCGTACGAAACTAGTCGATACGTGGCGTAAGTATTGTATCCATTAAGCTGCTTCTTGGGGCCAACAGCGGAATAACGCACTGTTGAAACTGCCTCAACGCTCTGAGCTCTCTACCAGTGTGCTCTCGACTGTCAGATTCCACCCTACCCCTCGTTTAACGTTTTCACCTACCTTGGTCCCTTCAATGCCTTTCTTCATGATGCAGGATCAATACATTCTTCAAACCGCGGAGGAGGAAGGCATTAAGCTTCCTTTCGCATGCCGGCATGGCTGCTGCACAGCCTGCGCTGTCCGGGTGATTTCAGGCGAGCTGGTTCAGCCACGCGCGCTCGGTATTTCGCAAGAGCTCAAGGAAAAGGGTTATGCACTGCTGTGTGTGGGGATTCCCCTTTCTGACCTTGAGGTGGAGACACAGGACGAGGATGAAGTGTACTGGCAGCAGTTTGGCAAGTATTTTGCACGAGGTCCTATCGAGCGCGATGATTATGCTCTGGAGCTTGCAATGCAAGACGAGTAATGGATAGATTCGGATGTAGTCCTCTGGTTTAGAACAATACGATTCTCTGTTGCCCTAGTCAAAGATAGGGTCATTTTCGCAGGTTGATGATGGGAGTGCACAAGTCACCAACACCAAGACATGGATCATGTGATCCTCTGGTGGATGCAACACGAATGTCAGTCCCATTCTCCAAATGCAGTTTTGTTGTACATGTATCGTTTTGTCATGCATGCTGAGCCCTTTGACAGTAAAATAGATTTAGTTATTGGGATTTCCCAGAAGTCAGCCTCTGTAAGCTTGTTCGGCTTCAACGGAATGCTAATCAGAGTTAGCTTGTTCTTTCTTAATTTTGATGTTTATCATTGTCTGGAACTAACATTTTTCAATCAGAACAATGAACCAATAACGTGTAAGAAAATGAAGCTTTTGCACCGCTCGAAAAAATAAAAGAGTCGTGATGTATTCCTCACATTCTTCACTTCGAGTAACGCATCACACAACAATCTGAGTCGAATTCGGCATGGCTCTGCCGTCCCACAGCTCCACACTACCACAGAAAAAACATCTCTCATTCATGACGCTGGCGTTTTTTGTTATGCGTGATACTGACCAATACATGCGGTGTTGACGCATCACACGCGCTGGACATTCCTCAGAGTTTCTGATGTTTCTTTCATCACAGGCTCCCATCCCATCCTACGATGATTGTTATTGTTTTCGTTGCATAGCGGCGTTCCTTTCCAGAAGTCGAGGCGAAGGAAAGGAAACGTTTTCTCCTCTTTCCTACGCTTAAAAAATACAAGCATGATGCAGCTAGGAGTTCCCTCTCGTTATAAACACCTGACCTACAGCCATGTCCTCGCTATAATCCCAAGAGCTGTTGATCACCCCGTCTCCTTCCCCTCGCAACAATCCATGAATGCTTCATCCTACTATTCTTCAAATATCCGCATTCTAAAAGTTAGCCACACAACGCGGCATTTCAGGCGCTCCTGCTGTTTCGAGGCCGCCATTCCCACGGCTGTTGTAAAGACAGATGCGGATTCGAAGGGAGATTCATCCCAACAAAAGTTCGCGGAAAGGCCCCTCTTGAGAAATGCGATCATAGTGGGCGGCGGGATTGCCGGTCTGACGGCAGCCATTGCTCTTCGCCGGCAGGGAGTTGACGTTCAGGTTGGTGCCTTACTGACTGTTAAACAGTTTCTTTCACTACAAGGCGAGGTGACAAAGAGCTTCCCCCCCTCACCTGCTGCCTTACAGCTTCGCTCCCCGCGCCAGGTTGTTGCTCTTCGCGGATGTTGCTCCCCGCGCCACGTGAACAAGAAAGGGTCTACGATTCCGGTGTTTCCCAAGCATGGCAGGTGTACAAAGGTTGCGTTTGCGAGGTCTGATGTTCTGTGTTCCCCTGCGTGGCAGGTGTATGAGAAGGCGGAGGGGCGTGACCCCGAGAGGGTGGGGCGCATGGTGGGAATTCAGCCCAATGGGCTGGCCGCGCTGCGATGCATCGATCCCACCATTGCTGATGCTGTAAGAGATGACTTATAAGGAGAATCTCGGGTCTTTGGTTTTCGCTGTACTGTGGGGATAAAACCCAACGGGCTGGCGGCAGTGAGATGCATGTATCGACCTCGCCATTGCTGATGCTGTAAGATGTTACTCTTCAGTCTACTCTAAAGGACCGTCTTGGGGTCTGGGTTATATGTTGACTCACAAGGCGTGCCGTGTCGTGTGTATTGGCGTCACTTTTGAGAAATCTCAAAAGTGCCGCCATTGCTGTTGCTGTAACAGATGACCATTGCGTCGACTTACAAGGCTTACCACCTCGCCCCGTCCCGTCAGGCGAGGTGCTTCTGGAGGCCACTTCCCTTCTCACCTCACCTTCCCCCCTCCCCCTATGCCCCACTCCCCACGGCTGTCGTCGCAAGGCGCGCATCAGGATCAGGCGAGGTGCTACCGGAGGCCACTTCCCTTCTCATCTTCCCCCCTCTCACTCCCTTCCCCCTTACCTGCATATTTCATTCCAAGGAGCGCATGTGCCCAGCCTATGGGAGCTCGCCCCATCCAGCAAGGTGCTTCTGGAGTCAACTTCCCTCCACCCGCCCCCCACCCCCTTCCTCGTAGTTCCCATCGCAAGGCGCGCATGTGCCCAGCCTGTGGCAACTCTCCCCATCGGGCGAGGTGCTGCTGGAGGCCATGGCGCCGGCTGACGGCCGCTTCTCCATCCGCTGGGGGCTCGCTCTCGAAGTGCTGCAGAGCTTCTTGCCTGCCTCGTGTGTGCACCAGGGCTGCGAGTTCACCGGGCACGTGGAGCAGGTGCGTGCTTGTGTTTTAACGAATCACAACCTCGTCACTAGCACGGAATCACGTTTTAACGAATCACAACCTCGTCACTAGCATACACGATCAAATCAAGGTGTTGTTCGAGAATTGAGAGAGTCAATCTCGAGAGCATTTGGTGAGTTGATCTGCAGTAATTCGGTCACCCCTCATTTTTTGCATCGTATGGTGGCCCCACGATAATTTTGCGGACCGTTGAACCACGCCGCATTTGACGGGAGCCCGAGACTGAAAGTTATCCGACAATTGTATCTTCGAAGTTGTGTCATAAAGCAAAGCAGACATCACAACCACATAAGTAGACTTACGTGAGCCTAAATCTTCTCAGAGTAAGAGACTCCACAATGGATTCAGCAGGAGAGCACACCGGATCGTTTTCTCCTTGTGGGTTTGAAGACGAATAAAGCCTTCGGCGGGAGAAGCTGAATGTCGTAGAGGAGGTTCACTTTCAGGATACAATGAGGAGAATTTCGGAAGTTCAATTAAACTGAGGGAAAGCGAGATGAAGGTTAAGCGCGCGAGAGAGAATGTGATCTTCAAGGAGCACGAAACGACCAAGTTACGAGGCATGGTCCAGGACCTTTCTCTACCACACTATGACAAGAAAGCATTGAGTCGCTTAGTGCCCGCATGTGGACCAGGTGGGTTTAAAGTCGCCTAGAGAATGCTGCAGGTGCTTCAGAGCGCTTAGTGCCCTGCCAGAGAGCTGCAGGCCCCCTCTTCCTCTCCCTTGCTCCTCACTCGTCCTCTCATCCAACCCTCTCTGTTCCTCTCACTTCCTCCACTCTCTTAGTCTCCCTCGCCCCTCCTCTCTCCTCTCATTCGCCCTTGTCTCTGATTTGTTTGCCTGGTGTGCTTTGCTCCCCATCCCCATGTTCACTCACTCACTCTGCCAGGCCAAAGTTTGAGGCACCTCAAAACTCCTCTCTCCTCTTGCCCTTGCCTCTGGTTTGTTTGCCTGGTGCGCTTTGCTCCCCGTCCCCATGCTCACTCACTCTACCAGGCCAATGGGCACGTGACGGCCCACTTCACTCGCCACGAGCAGCCTTTCAGTGCAGAGGTAAGTAGGGCCGCTCGAGCTTCGCACAGAACTGCATGGTGGCACGTAATATAGGGGGTGTATGATGTAAGCAGCACGTTGCATAAGCGATGCGTTACATGAGCTGTGCGTTACATGAACTATGCGTTACATGAGCTGTGCGTTACATGAGCTGTGCGTTACATGAGCTGTGCGTTACATGAGCTTTGCGTTACATGAGTTGTGCGTTACATGATCTGTGCGTTACATGAGCTGTGCGTTACATGAGCTGTGCATTACATGAGCTCCGCATTACATGAGCTGTGCATTACATGAGCTGCGCGTTACATGAGCTGTGCGTTACATGAGCTGTGCATTACATGAGCTGTGCGTTACATGAGCTGTGCGTTACATGAGCTGCACGTCACATGAGCTGCGCGTTACATGAGATGCGGGTTACATGAGCTGCGCGTTACATGAGCTGTGTGTTACATGAGCTGTGTGTTACATGAGCTGTGCGTTACATGAGCTGTGCGTTACATGAGCTGTGCGTTACATGAGCTGCACGTTACATGAGCTGCACGTTACATGAGCTGTGCGTTACATGAGCTGTGCATTACATGAGCTGCACGTTACATGAGCTGTGCATTACATGAGCTGTGCGTTGCATGAGCTGTGCGTTACATGAGCTGTGCGTTACATGAGTTGTGCGTTACATGAGCGGATCTGCTGGTGGGGTGCGGACAGGCCGCCTGCCAGTGACCTCTAAAGCCTGCTTGGCTTAGAGACTCTGACGTGATGTGAACTCAAGAGCCTGCCCCTCCTGCCTCTCTGTCACTCTGTGTTGCAGGCGGACCTCCTGATGGGCACGGACGGGGTGCGGGCGGCAGTGAGGCAGCATGTGTTGAAGGAGGTGAACTAAAGCGTCTGCTAATGTTGCATGTCTGAGTTTTGGTGCGTTCATCTGTGCTTCGTGTCGCAGGCGGATCTGCTGATGGGCACGGATGGGGTGCCACTGACTGCTCAAGCCTGCAAGCGTACTGGCTGCGGACCAACGAGATTGTCGTTCCTATCTATCTCCCTCTATGCCTCAGGCGGATTTGCTGATTGGCACGAACGGGGTGCGATCGGCTGTGAGACAGCATGTGTTGAGGGAGGGCGAGGAGAGGGAGCGGTGGGGCCCGCCGCAGGATGACGGCCGCACCATGTGGCTCGGAGCTGCTCCCCGCGAGACTGTGAGCTTCGAGGTGTGAATGAGATCGTGCGGCTGTGAGCTTTGAGGTGTGAATGAGATTGTGTGGCTGTGAGCTTTGAGGTGTGAATGAGATCGTGCGGCTGTGAGCTTTGAGGTGCGGCTGTGAGCTTCGACGTGCGTGCGCTCATAGCTTGATTCACAACACGGGTTGCTGTGGGTCAAACAGGAGAACACTGGCTGCAGCCTGGAACTGGCTTGGTCCCCGTGAATCTGTGAGCTTCGAGGTGCAATTGCCTTGTCCTTAGGGAAATTCAGAAGCCCGCTGGGTGCCGTTGACTTGTTTTTTTCCCTTGCACAACGATGTTTGGAATGTGATTGTGTGTCTCGTTTAACCTCTCTAACACGGTAACATGGTTGCTGTTCCCACCCACCCACCCACCCACGCCCCCTCCCTCCCTCCCTCGCTCCCTCCCTCCCTCCCTCCCTACCTCCCTCTCGCCCTCCCTCCCTCCCTCCCTCCCTCCCTAATTCCCTCCCTCCCTCGCTCCCTCCCTCCCTCCCTTGCTCCCTTCCTCCCCACCTCCACCACTCGCGCCCCTACCGCACGTGCTTCACGAGGGGCGGCGGGAGGACGGCCGCAGTGGGGGACCTCGGTGGGGCGGAGATTTTTGTCCTGTTTGTGTGTGCGGACGAGCAGGGGAGGGGGCTGACACAGCAGCGTTCAGCGAATGGGGAGGAAGTGCGGGGGAAGATCAGGGCGCTTTTTGCCGACTGGCCTGCATACAAGGATGTTATTGAGGTGGGCAGGGGGGAGTTATCAAGGTGAGTGGACGCGTTTTCTTAGTTGACTCGGACTAGAGGAGGTGCGGGGGAAGCTGAGGGCGCTCTTTGACGACTGGCCTGCATACAAGGATGTTATTGAGGTGGGCGGGGGGGAGTTATCGAGGTGAGTGGATGCGTTTTCTTAGTTGACTCGGACTAGAGGAGGTGCGGGGGAAGCTGAGGGCGCTCTTTGACGACTGGCCTGCATACAAGGATGTTATTGAGGTGGGCGGGGGGGAGTTATCGAGGTGAGTGGATGCGTTTTCTTAGTTGACTCGGACTAGAGGAGGTGCGGGGGAAGCTGAGGGCGCTCTTTGCCGACTGGCCTGCATACAAGGACGTGATCGAGGTGTGTGGGTGGGTGGGTAGGTGGGTGGGTCGGTGGGAGGGTGGGTGCTTCGTTTCTGCTCGAACAAATGAAAGGAGGCGGGCGAGGGGAGATGAAGACTTGTTTTTCAAGCACAAGGTTCTGGACGTCCCTCGGCTTTCCCAACCCGTCCCTCCGCTTCCCAGGTGGTTACTGGCACGCCTCAGACGAAACCCTTCCCCAACCCCTCCCTCGCCCTACAACCAGGCTGTCCCCCCTGATCTGTTTCTGGAGCGCCGGGTGCTGGACGTGCCTCCTCTCTCCTGCCTGCCAGCCTCACACATCCCAACACCTCCCTCCCCAACCCCTCCCTCCCCCTGCAACCAGGCTGCCCCCCCCGACCTGTATTTGGAGCGCCGAGTACTGGACGTGCCTCCACTTCCCCGCTGGCGCAACGGCCGTATCCTCATCATCGGAGGTGCTCTCTCTCCCTTGCTGCGCCCCAACCTCGTTCCTGCCTCTTAACCTCTTGCACTCTTGCACACTTGCACTCTTGCCCTCTTAACCTCTTGCACTCTTGCCCTCTTGCCCTCTTGCGCTCTTGACGTCGTGACCTCTTGCCCTCTTAACCTCTTGCCCTCTTGCCCTCGTGCCCTCGTGCCCCATAGCTACTTCAAAACTCCTTGTATGCCCTGCCTGCTCTCACGTGCCTTGCTCTCACGTGCCCTGCTCTCACGTGCCCTGCTCTCACGTGTCCTGCTCTCATGTGCCTTGCTCTCACGTGCCCTGCTTTCACATGCCCTGCTCTCACGTGCCTTGCTCTCACGTGCCCTGCTCTCATGTGCCCTGCTCTCATGTGCCCTGCTCTCACGTGTCCTGCTCTCATGTGCCCTGCTCTCATGTGCCTTGCTCTCACGTGCCCTGCTCTTACGTGCCCTGCTCTCACGTGCCCTGCTCTCACGTGCCCTGCTCTCACGTGCCCTGCTCAAATGAAGTTCTGGCTGCCTGCAATCAAAGTGCTCTAGATGGGCTTTTCCGTCTCTGCTTCTCGGTCTTTTTTTTATCGTATAATCAGCTAATTATCTACCTTTCCAATCATTGTCTGCAGCCTCGGGGACTGAGATACCGTTCAAATTCACCCACCCACCTCTCTCACATGCTGTCCCCATCACGCCGTCATCTGCATCTTCTCATCATGCCGTCCAGATGCAGCGCATGCAGTGCCACCCACATCTCCCCCCATATTCCCTCCATCTTTCTCGCATGCTCCCATCAAATGCAGCTTCCCCATCATGCCGACCAGATGCAGCGCATGCGGTGCCGCCCACATCTCCCCCCATATTCCCTCCATCTTTCTCACATGCTCCCATCAAATGCATCTTCCCCATCGTGCCGTCTAGATGCAGCGCATGCGGTGCCGCCCACGCTAGGCCAGGGCAGCAGCCTGGCAGTAGAGGATGCACTGGAGCTCGCACGACAAGTGGTTGCCGACCATCCCTCTCTCGAGTGCGTGGTGTAGTGCACCTTGTTAGTCAGTACAGTTCGTTTCCTGCTTGCTGTTTGGTGAATGTGTCCAATGAGGGCAGCAGCCTGGCAATTGAAGATGCGCTAGAGCTCCCACGGCAAGTGGTTGCGGATCATCCCTCCTTCGAGTGAGTGGCATAGTGCACCGCTGCTAGATAGCACTGTTTGTTGCCGCGTGCTCTGTTTAGCACTCTGTGCGATGAGGGCAGCAGCCTGGCAATTGAAGATGCGCTAGAGCTCGCACGGCAAGTGGTTGCGGATCATCCCTCCCTCGAGTGCGTGGTGTGGTGTGCACCATTGTTAGCTAGTACTGTTTGCTTCCTTCTTGCTCTCTGATGACTCCATCCAGTGAGGCCAGCAGTGTGGCAAGCAATGGACGATGACTTTTGAGTTGATTCAAAACGAGGTGACTTTTGAGTCGACTCAAAACGAGGTGACTTTTGAGTCAACTCAAAAGTCTTCTTGCTCTCTGATGACTCTATACAGTGAGACCAACAGTGCAGCAAGCAATGGAGGATGCGCTGAAGCTCGCGGTCTATCCCTTCGAGGCGAGAGGGCACCATGGTGTTTTTTTATTATTATTTTGGTGCCGACTACTTCTTAGGTGCCTCACAACCCACCCACTCTCTCGACCCTCCTCGCCTGGCAAGGCAGCACTAGATGCATTTAAGGCGGAAAGGGCACCGTGGGTGTCGTGGCAGACTGCCTTTGAGGGTACTGCTTTAGAGGATAGAGGATTGAAGATAGATTAATGCACAGCACAGGCGCCTCTAAACCCACCCATTCTCTTCTTCTGCACCTCCTCACCTGACAGGGACGAATTTGAGGCGGAGTGGGCACCGCGGGTGGAGGGCTGCTTCTGAGGTGAACTTCTTGTGTGGTGCCTCACAACCCAACCCACCTACTCTCTCGTATATTAGTGCGACTTTTGAGAATTCTCAAAAGTCGCACTAATATACCGGACTTCTTGTGTGGTGCCTCACAACCCAGCCCACCTACTCTCTCGCCCTTCTTGACCTGGCAGGGTTGCACTTGATGCCTTTGAGGCGGAGAGGGCACCGCGGGTGGCGTGGGTGGCAGAGGCGAGTGTGGCAGTCGCAGGGCAGGCATACAAGGGAGAGAGGGACCCCAATGTCCCAGCGGAAGGGTCTGTTAATCCCGATGCTGCTCTCGGCCGTGATCAAAGCACTCGTGCGAGCAGCAGTGCCAGTGGTGGCAACAGCAGCAGTACTGGCAGTGGTGCGAGTGGGAGCGGCAATGACGGGAGTCAAGCTACGGATCCGGTACATAAATTGTACAGTTATGAGCGCCTCAACCCACCCCTAGTACGAAATGAGTCTCAAGTGTGCTGGAATGCGCTGAAGTATGCCAGCACATTGAAATGAAGTGCGTGTGATTGTTGGAATGTGGTGTCATTCGACTAATGTGTGTTTTTTGTTGGTAGTGGTGAAGTACCACCTCTGACGCCCATTGTATTGTGCCACATAGGATATCTCGTCGAATGTTGATTTGATCACATTTGTGCTATTATTTTGCTCACTCACTTTCTATTACGGCTCTATATTATGGTCTCGTACAGCTACAGGAACCAAACATTGATACGCACTGAGGTAGAGGGGGGAGCTCGGTGGGTGGAGGCTCCGTATTGGTGGTTGCACGGGTTTGAGGTGCGCTAGAGTGTTCGGGTTGAGCTGAGGGGTGTGAGGGGTTCGGAGTCAGGTGGGGTTATCAGTCTGAAGCCATGCTGTAATTTCTGGGTTAGCTTCATTCCTTAAAACGGTGGCAAAACATGAAAACAAATGTTAAGGTTGCTACGCAACCCAAAAATGTGGCATACCATGTTTGGGCATAGTAAGCAGATTATTGTTATTTTAGAAAACCAAGTTTCATGGTTGAGCACGCCTCATCTCGCGTATTTGTTGAATAGGCTTCACTAGCATTTTAAGAAACTTCTGATACATCAGACAGAAAAAATCACGCCATCTGACCCATCAGGTAGGTTCAAAACCTAGGGATGACCGTGACACCTGAATCTCTCATTGTCCTAGATAGAAAGAGGAAAAGAAGGGAAAGAAAGACATGAATGAAGGAGAAAGGAAATGAAGATAGAAAGGGTCAATCCTCGCACACTCGCTCAATTGCACTCGTCTCAGCAGCAATTTTTTAGCACCAATGTTTGATAGCGCAAGGTGTAAGGAAAATCCCTTTTCCTTACTTCGCATCCCTGCTCAACGCGTACATCACTGTAGCACCTCAGTCAGCACCGTTACCACTCGCGATCATCGCATCGACAATCATCCCGCCATTTTCGCACATCGCATCCCGACCTCACGGCTCGGCTGGTAACCCGCGCTCCGGGCCTACGCTTTGACACTTTCCCAACCTCAGTCCCAGGCTTGTCGCGCGACTACCACAGACCATTACCGTTACCACTGTAGTTTCGCTATATATTCTTCACTCATGCCCTCGCTCATTGTATTCTTGCTTCGATAGTGCAATTCTCATTCGTTCACTCAATTGCACTCGTAACACTTGGTATTCAGAGCCTACGATCTCATCTCGGACCGCATCCACACCTTCGCTTCCCCACTATCTCAAATTTTTGGGGGGGGTAGACGTCTCTCAGCGATACAGCACCGCCGTTCGTAGTGCTCTCTCGCAAGCACGCACGGCCACGACCGAGGCTCTCGCTGAGCTTGCTCGACACCCCCGCCATGGCCGATTTCACGCTCGCCACATTAACGCAGGAACAACTTGATCGTCTCGTGCGTCAACTGGAAGATTCAGCGATCGAAATCGCGACGCTCACGGCGGAACGTGACTCCGCCCGTCAACAGTCCACGGTGAACGTTCCGGCGACATCACACACACCAAAAAATGTATCTGCACATTCGGATGAGCCGATCGTCATCTCGTCCGGCATACCAACACAACACGACAGCATGGGACAGCGCTCAGGCGCAGCCAGTAATGGCGCCGCCCAGCCGATGCCTGGCATGGGAGGAAACAGGATCGCACCAAGCCCGCGGGAGCCCCGAGAAGCCCGTCGGCACGTGGAATTTGCGGCGACAAGTGGTGAACAAGCCATCATGGCACCAATGCCGCTCAAGCCGCAACGCCCGCCCTGCTTCAACCCAAGCCAACGCGGCGGTCCGACGGCTCAATCGTGGGTCTTCACGATGAACGTCTTCTTCGACGCAAATTACGTCGAGTCGGACGCCGCAAAGATCCGGTATGCAGTTTCACTGCTAAGGGGCCCCGCTATGGACTGGTGGCGAGTCACCGTTTAAGGGGCGCTGCTTTGCTTGCAACAGGCCGGGCCATTGCAAGAGCGAATGCCCAGAGGAGGTGAGGCGCCAAGGAGCAGAGCAGGGGAGGGAGTCTCAGAGGCAGGGAAACGCCAGCAGTCAGTAGAAGTTGGGCCAAATACTGACGAGACTGCCTGCTCGCCCAACCACACCGACCCTCACCGAGTCACAGTACCGATTCACGCCATCGATCGGGCTCAGATGAATAAGGAGGGTACAGCAACGGATTGCCCGGCACTGATCTACGGGAAAATACATGGAGCAACAGTGAAGATTTTTATAGACGGAGGAGCAAGTCACGGCTTAGTTAATACCGCAACCGCACGGAAATTACAGTTAACACTTAACCGATGCTTACCTGAGATAGATGCACGCTTAGTCCACGGAACGCCACTAGCCATATGAGAAAAGGTGGAGCGAGTAAAAGTCCGCTGCGGAGGGAACTTCGGGTTTACACAGGAAATGCTCGCAACGACACTGGATGGGCACGACATTTTACTGGGACGTGATTGGCTGCGACGGTATAACCCGCAAATTGACTGGACGACGGGTAGCTGCACAGTGCGAAGTAGTGGTAACTGGGTCGTCCTACCTCGGTGGCAGCCACCCGAGTCTTCGACGGTCCAGGTCAACGCCATCACGATGAAACGGGCTGTCGCTGCTGGAGCTGACGTGTACGCAGTGGATATAGCATTAGTGGGAGAAGAGGAGCAGCCGAGCGATTTTGAGAAACTGTTGGCAGCTGTACCACCCGAACTTTAGGCACTACCAAAATCCCTTTTCCTTACTTCGCATCCCTGCTCAACGCGTACATCACTGTAGCACCTCAGTCAGCACCGTTACCACTCGCGATCATCGCATCGACAATCATCCCGCCATTTTCGCACATCGCATCCCGACCTCACGGCTCGGCTGGTAACCCGCGCTCCGGGCATACGCTTCGACACTTTCCCAACCTCAGCCCCAGGCTCGTCGCGCGGCTACCACAGACCATTACCGTTACCACTGTAGTTTAGCTATATATTCTTTGCTCATGCCCTCGTTCATTGTATTCTTGCTTCGATAGTGCAATTCTCGTTCGTTCACTCAATTGCACTCGTAACACAAGGCAACCCATCTTTAGTGTCACGTGATCTTGACGTCGCACATGCCGTCCTATTCGTTGGTGCCACTGATCTTGACGTCGCTTTATGGGTTGGCAGGCGGCGGGGCGACCCGTCGTTGTGAAGTGTCGTGACATTTTTAGTCACACACACGTGTTGATCGAAGCGATCAGGTAACCATCATCGCGAAACCTTGCCATGACGACATCCGATGCAAGTTGATTACCTCACTGCCAAAACTTCCCGAAGGGAAAGACGGCGACAGCGACGAGTGACAATATCAGCGTACTCTTCTAGCACGAACTGACGAAAGTACCTCAGCATCGCTTGTGCGTAAATTTGCAGGGATCTCGTGGTTGCCGCAGGGGATTAGGTAGGGGCTAATTTTGTTTGAACGATGCGCGAATCGAGATTCGCGGCGCGGCGCTTGTTCGTGTCAAGAACCGAGCTAAGGGCAAAAGTGGGCCTGCTCTGCTTTCCTCTCAGTGCATGTGCCTGCAAAATCTCTCATATATATATATAGATATATATATAAGTTGATGGTGCTGTTGTTTTCTTATCAACGCAGTTTTCATCCATTTTCA